GGGGTCACAGCCCGTAGGATTGTGAGCACAAGCATGGATGATGAAGATAGACCCTGCCTCAGCACTTTCCAGCGCTGACAAGTACGAATCAAAATCAAGTGCCTTTCGTTTGTGATCATAGTACTGAAATGACTCGCACTGGAAGCCTAACGATTTGAACACTTGGTGATGGTTGGACCATGTTGGCTCTGGGATATAGACTTTCGGGAGCGGTCGTCGACATGTCTTGAGCAGCAATCCCACCAGATGCAAAGCACCTGTACCAGAAAGACTTTGACAGATTGCAAGCTATATCGAGACATTACATTAGAAACCAGTATTCAAGCATTGTATCTCTCAAATTCAGAGGAGCTTACGTTTTCCCTCTCAGCATATATTACCGAGCCAAGAACAGTCTCAGCAGCTCTCTCTCGAAAGTCATGTAAGCCCAGTATAGGTAGATATTCGTGATTCAAGCCTTCTGTTAAGAGTTGTTCTCGTGCTTGTCGGACGGAAGGAAGGACCCAGGGTTTGCCATCATGATCACGGTAGGTACCTTGCCCTAGATTCACTTTCAATGGGGTAGGGTCTTTGAGGTATTGTGCTGTCAATGCGAAAATTGCGTCAGGGGGAACATATTCGGCGGCAATGAACCAAGACTCCGCCTTTGTTGTTGGTCCAGTACTCGAAGATGTATCGGTTGTGACAGCCATATCAATAAGTAGCAAGATTGATTGATGGTCTGTGGTGTTGTCGAAGCTATTTACACTTCTTCGCGCGACTAAAACATCAAATCTCGCCGGACAGCGGGCCCTCAATACTCATCATAGTAGCGGTAGATACGTCCCCACGGGATTATTACCGGTCCGCGGTTGATCCCTGATCAAAGACACACTCTGTGCCGAGTCAGACCTTGTACAACTGAGCTTTGACTTGCAGGCTATCAACATCCAGGCCTTCTTCACAGGCTACCAACCTCTGCTGAAATCGAGTTTTTGCGCTAGACAACCACCCTAGACTGTCCGGAATTTGGCCCAATACGGAAGTCGTGTCCTGAGAGATGTCGGAGAAGCCTTCACAAGGATCCGAAACTGGGTTGCGGTCGTCGGATCAGCTTCCGACCATGCATACAGAGCTGATAGCGGTACTCTGACGAGCGGGCGATGATCCGTATGGCGTGCAGTGCTACTCGAGCCTGCGATCTGTTGCTTGTGGCATTTTCAATATGAGACTATCGGAGCATACGATACTTAATAATAGCTTGACCTTCTCACTTCCACCTAGACTTCTTGCTCCCGTAACAATCTGTTCCTCCTTCCTCAGTACAAAATGCCATCCCCTACCATTTCCAAGCCTCGTGTTCCAAAGTCTGGCGTTTGGTGCCCTGCAATCACATTCTTCAACCATGAGACCGACTCGCTCGACCTTGATGCGCAATCCCGCTACTTTGCCTATCTCTCTACCACTGGACTCGCGGGCCTTGTCATCCTGGGCACCAACTCCGAAGCTTTTCTGCTTACCCGTGAGGAGCGCAAGCAATTGGTCGAAACTGCTCGCACAGCCGTTGGCCCTGACTATCCCCTGATGGTAGGGGTAGGAGCCCATTCTACCAAGCAATCATTGGAATTGGCGCACGATGCGGCAGGCGCTGGAGCGGATTATGTCCTCGTACTTCCTCCTGCATACTTCGGCAAAGCGACCAGCATGGCAGTCGTCAAGCGCTTTTTCGCCGCTTTTGCCGCACAATGTCCCCTTCCGGTTGTTATCTACAACTTTCCGGGTGTGACTAATGGTGTAGATATCGACTCTGAAACGATGACGGCTATTGTTCAGGAGTCGAAAGCAACCAGCGGCACGTCCAACGTTGTAGGCGTGAAGCTGACGTGTGCTTCAGTGGGCAAGATCACTCGGCTCGCCGCAACCTTCGATTCCTCAGAGTTCGCCATCTTTGGTGGCCAGTCAGACTTCCTGATCGGAGGTCTAGCTGCAGGATCCTCTGGTTGCATTGCGGCATTCGCGAACGTTTTCCCAAAGCTCACTTCGAGAATTTACCAGCTCTATAAGTCGGGACAGTACGATGATGCTATGAGTCTCCAGAAGAAAGCAGCTTTGGCTGAGAGCCCATGCAAAAGCGGCATCGCCTCCACCAAGTATGCAGTCGCTCGTCATTCCGCCAGTGCTGCGGGTATCGAGGGTGCAGAAGCAATGTTGGCGCCACGTCATCCATATGGACCTGTCAACGAAGAGGTGAAGCAGGGTGTTCAAGCAGCGATGGACAGGCTAGCGGAAATTGAGGTATCGCTTCAGATCTGACAGATCAATACAGATATATAATTGTTCATATATGCGTTTTCCAGACCATCAAGTGTGACGCTTTTTTGTGGGAGCTTCGCGCGATTGCTTCATTGATATGGGGACACCATGAGGTCTAAAAGCGTTGCCATTCTAGAGGGCCCCTTTGTCCAATTTTGCTTGATTTATTGGCGTCATATATCGGCGACAAGTTCATACTAGTGGCGGTCGCGGATGTTTGTCGAAGCTATCGGTTTGTGAGCCACGTTCACCATGTTTTGCTTCAGACTAAGATGTTTGTCACATCGGTTTGTTGTGGTACATTGCCATCGACAAGTAATCTTCATAGCGCGATCAATTTCTGGAAGTCCAGTCATGTCTCATAGTTCTGGATGTCCGAAAATCTTGAATACATTGGATAAGGATTATTCATCTCCAGAGTGGATGTTACGTGGAATCGGTGGGAATTCGGCTTCATGCTATGCCATGCCACTATTTCTAGCTAATATTCCATTCCATGTTAATTATCTAGTGGAATGATGCTAATTGTCACACTGTCGTCGTCGTCGCCGTCACCCTATCCTTCTATGATATCATCCTATCCTTCTAAGAGCTTATCCTGTCCCTTTACATAGTCCTATATTTCGTCAATAGGTCGATCTACCCTCTCTAAGTAAAGATTCTTCTACTAGTTCTTTAGGCACTTAATACATATTAGATTAGTAGTAGAGAGTCTTATTCATATCTTATCATATATAAGTAGCCTGACCCTATATTTAACATCTTGTAAAGCCATTAAATATTGCTGCAAGTAATGGATCTGCACAACCATAGGCATAATTAACACTAGGCCCGCTAATTAAAAGATTCGGATAATTGACATTAGTGCACGTCTGGAAGAAGATAGCCGAGCCCTGCAGCGTGCAAGACAAAGCGCCAGCCGAGCTGCCGACGACATTCACACCGGCAATCGCGACGCTGCAGTGTAACGGCGAATATCCATAATTTGCCTCGTAATATGCCGAGGACGCCGTGTTCATCTGTTGCAAGTAATTGTATGCTGGGTTTGACGTCGTCTCGACCTGATAGATGTTGTTGCCGTACAGCCTGCCGTCGGAACCGAGGACGTAGGACATGGCCTGGCTGACGTCTGACGTGAGCTCGGGATTTCCGTAGGAAATTGCCTGGGAAGGAATTGACGCTGTCACATATTGGCCGATTTGGTGACCAGCTGTGGCGACAAGCAGGTAGCTGCGGCAGTAGTTTTGGCCGATGGTGGTGGGAATTACAACCGAGGTCGTCACCGTGTAGGGCTCTGTGACGACGACAGTGGTCACGGTGGTTGAGATGGTCGTGGGAATAATGTCGGTGGACGTTGTGGTTTCCGAAATGGTCTGCGTTTGGGTGGCCTGGGCTGTCGCGGTTGGCGTCACGGTGACGGTGATCGTGTCTGTGATGATGGTCGTCGAGGCAGTAAGAGTAGTGGTCGCCGCGGTGAGACCGGCGCACTGGCATGCAGATGAGTAGCGAACGGTTCCAGAGCAGGCAGAGGCGTATGTTGGTACACTGGACGCTGAAGTTGTGGTTGCAGCACAGGTGTTGGCGGTAGTGGAAACAGCACGACCTTGTAACTTGGCATTTGTGAAGACTGGAGCATCGAGAGGGGCCTTGTATCCTGCATCTCTTTTGGCTGGCAAGATACTTGTGACGACGGTGGTGTAGCTAGTTTGCGTGACGTCGACCTCAGAAGAGGTAAATGAGGTGGCGGTCAAGTCTAGACTTGTGGCCACGGATGTCACAGAAACCACCTCTGTTGTTGGAACGGTCAGCTGCGCCGTGTTCGTCTGGGTGATTGTCACTGGAGTTGCTGTGACAGTCACGGTCTGCGTGATGTAAGAAGACCTAATGGAGTAATACAGGTCAACTGAACTGTCCTAAAGAAATTCTGGAGAACGGCGGGTCAAAGAAGAACTCACACGACACATGGTGTCACAGTTTTTCGCAGGAAGGAAATACAGTCCGCTGTAGCAGATGACGGGAACGGAGCGTGAGACGATGCTCTGACTGCTCGGAGGCAATTGTCGGCGTTGCACTTGTCTACGGCGGCAGCATTAGACAGATTCGCAACAGCCAGACAGACTGCTGCTGTCTTCAGGAAAGATCGAGTCATGGCGGTAGAAATGACTTAAGGAGAGGCTGATAAAGGAGAAGAACAAGGCCAAGTGCAAAAATGCTCGGTGAGAAACTCGAAGAACATGACTCCGGGTGCAGTGCCCGTGAGCCATATATATATACAGATGGCTGGATCAAGAGATCCGAAGGGAGCCTAAAGCATGCTGGACAGCAACACACAGACACACTGCGCATCACGCGCGTTAACCCTCAACTCTATCCAGACATCCAAGATGGTACTTGGGCTCAAGAGCACTCACTAGCGTACAATCCATGACAAATTCAACCAAGGCTCCTTAGCAAGGCCTCGTGCCAGCTGGGTTTCGCGATTCAGCTGGTCCGATCATGCCCGAATGCCTGTCAGCTTTACGAGGCGTGGACCAAACTCTCCCAGGGTTACGGTTCTGGCCCCTAATCAGCAGTGTGAACGGCTCATACACTCGCGTAGAGATGCTCGCCAAATTAGGCAAGAAGTAGAGCATGTAGAGCGTGCCTAGTCGAATGTGAAGAGCGGAATCTGGGGTCGACCGTGGTCGTGGACAGAATAGACGACGTTTCGAGCAAGTCAAAAAGATTCGTAACTTTGTTCCCATCATCCAATAAAGTCTAAGCATCATGGCGGCCGAACGTTGGCCCCTGAGATCCTAACCCCACATATTCTCGTTTGATCATAAGACAAATAGCGCGAATCTGGGAGGGCCATTGCTTATGCTTGATCTGTGGCTCTTTTGATACTCTATCACTGAATCAATAACTCTTCGAACAAATGCAAAGCAAGTGTTTAGTATGATCTAAAGAGAGAGCAGAACCGATCGTTGCGACATAGTCTTTTGATGTGGCTTAAAGTTCAGCTCCGCAGTTTAGCTCAGCTGGCAGGCGACTCGTGCCATGCTCAGCTCTCGCGCCGAGCCCAGCCTTCGTTCTTAGCTAGGCCGAACAACGAACGGAAGACTAATCCAGGCGACAGATAAGGTGTATAGGATTACTACTGATGTACTTAAGGATAATAATTATCTTGACTTTTAGCTATATACCAACTTTCCCTACTAAGAGTTCTATATTACTTAATTAGGGTTTTAGTGGGGTTTTTACTAAACCCTATCTCCCTTAAAAACCCTAAAACCTAAGAGACTCTCCATATTGTTATACCCATGCTTCAATTCTATGTTTGGATCCTTGCTTTTGTGCTTTCTGTAGCTCTTGCGCCTTCTTGACGCCGAAGCCGTGAGAGAATATTTCTCTGATATCTTCAAGAGTCATCCCCTTAACCTCCGGGTAGCAGAAGTAGACGCATGGGAAGCAGCCCAGAATGCAGATCGCAGCATAAAATCCAAAAGCACCCGAAGGCGTGGTATTCTCCATTTGGGTAAGGAACGTACTGGCCACAATGACGTTTGAGCCCCAGCATGTCATGGTTAACATCATAGTTCCCATCGCCCGGATCTCCATTGGGAAGAACTCGGAGCTGAGCCATGCGGTGTTGCCCATTCCTGAGGAGTAAAAGCCAACATAGATAACCATGCAAACGAGAACCAACTTAGCTGGAACCCCAACACTGACACCAGCCTTGAGGGTCAAGTCATGATTGACTGGAATCCAGTGGAAAGCGATGGCGGCGAGGATTAAAGACAGACCCATGAAAGGCATTGTGAGGAGTAAGATTCGGCGACGTCCAACACGGTCGACAAGCATAAGATTGACCCAAGTAAAGAAGAAGTTGGTCCCAGCAATGACGGTTCCCACAGCTACCGGATTGGAAAATCCAACCAGTGCGAAAAGCGTCGAAGAATAGTACATCAATGAGTTGAATCCGCCAAGCTGAGAGATGGCCATGAGTCCGCATGCTGAGACCAGAGCGCGGAAGTTTGCCGGGACGACGTAGAGTTGCTTGAAGACCCACCATTGACTTTTGCCTGCAGTCATCTGCTTTGAGATCTCGATGTGTATCCTGATATGTTCGCATTTCTGGTTGACCTGTTCTTCGCTGCCGTTGGGGTAAATCTTGCGGATCACATCCTTTGCCTCATCTTCCTTCCCGTGATAGATAAGCTGGCGAGGTGACTCTGGACAGAACGGCAGAAGGGCACAAAGTACTATCGCGGGGATCGCACCGCCACCCACCATGTATCGCCAACCTCCGCGTGTGCTAGCAAAAGCGGCACCGATACCATAAGAGATGAGCTGGCCACCGGTGATCGACATGTTGTCCAATCCAATCATGCGGCCTCTGTACTTGGCTGGTGATACCTCGGCGATATACATGGGCACTGCACTAAGATCAGATGATTCGGTCTCTGGCAAAGGGGCTCGACGTACCAATCGTAGCTGCACTTCCAACCCCAAATCCTACAACAAGGCGGCCCACTGTCATTTGCGCAAGACTGAACGATGCAGCCTGTAAGACTGCTCCGATGATGAATAAAACGCATCCAACGTAGATAGCTGGCTTGCGTCCATACTTGTCGGCCGTGAGCCCAGCGAAAATTGCACCAAAGAAAGCTGCACCCGATGTGATGGATGTGATAAGCTCCTTTTCGCCTGAAGTCAAGACTTTGTGATCAAGAGATGTTCCAATATACACTAGGACGGCGCTATCAAAGCGTGAGTAGGGGAGCGGGACAATCCTCCTTGTGTCTCTCACTGACCTGATGATACCGGTATCGTATCCGAAAAGCATACCACCGATGGCTGCTGTGATGGAAACCAGCCATGCGAACTTGCCGGTTTTGGTCTCTTCTATGGTGTCGAGATCATCGAGCGTGTTTTGCTGCGAGCTGACATGTTCAACATGATCAGTGCCAGTCTTCTCGTCAATTTTGCCGACGATGCCCATTTTGTTTGTCAAGAAGGATAATTTTTGAATGTAAATGGGCTTGGAAGATATCAGAGTATAGTAGTGTGGATTCACGATTTCGACTGAGACAACAACCACGAAGGAAACTATTCCAGTCTTATAGCTCAACGTCTACTGCTTTACGGCATGCACTGACTTATCGGGAGGCCTTGCCGTCACAAAGCTGCCGCGCATGCGACCCCGCATGGGGTACCCCCGGATTTCGTTCTGAGTTGAGCCGCCGGCCAATGCCACACATTCGCGACTTGACTGGGTAAGGGCATGCCGTTGGTCCTCCGCAAGAGACTAAACTCTATATTAGGGCACGACCGGAAAGTTGTTCCTGAACAGTCGTGAAAGGGCAAACTGACCCCGCTTTCCTCATCAACAGACAAAGCTCGGACGTGGGTCTCAGAAAGCTCGCGCCGGACCTTGCCCGATGGTTTCTCAAAAAGGCATCATTGCCGTCCGCTCGCTCTTACCTCGTCCTTCTTCCCTCCTCACAGTATCAATCATTTCTGTTGACTACTGCAAGTTCACAAGTTTTCCTATTCAGGTGTAAATCTGGGGTAGACATGACATAGGCGGCTCGTCATGTCTTCTCCTGCCCCACCGATCCGAGCGAAAACTGGTTGCCAGGCGAGTCAACGTTGTGCCTGGGCCAACAGCAAGACACCTGCTGACCATCTCCTAGAACTGCAAGATTCGTCACGCAAAATGTAGGTTGGCACACGAGAAGCAGTAAAAAGCTCTGCCGGTAGCTATTCAGAATAGCGGCCTAGTGGAATCGAGATCTCCTGAACCAGCACGCGTAGTCTTTCCAGCCTTACGTCTTGAATAACTCTTCACGAACAAGGCTCAAAGACGAAAATCGACGATGGTTAGCTGTAGACTGTCTACTTGTTTACCGGCTTGGACCGTGGTAGGGACACAGCGCTTTAAGGTCCTTACTTACTTGTTCTATTCTAGGTGACGACAAGCGACCGAGTTGTGCAAGGTGCAGCCAGTCAGGAGTGGAGTGTGTTCGGCTTCTGAACATTCGTTTCTGTCATAACTTCAATCCAACGTACGTTCGAACAACATATCTCAACACTCAGATGGAAAAATTGCTGAGCGATCAAGTGTTCCAGCGGACAGAGGGCCAGAAGGCTCTTTCATTGAGAATCAGCCATGGGTATCAACTAGAGGAGCTGTGAGCTTCGTGGACGAAACACGGGATACAATAGCGATATACGGCACATACGACGATGATAAAATATTCAGCAACGAAAAGTCGACCAATATGATGGCCCAGCCGGATATGGACATCGCTGCTGTGGGACCATCCCCATCGCAAGAGAATGTCGCAATCAACTCTCCCGATCAGGTCCTCCAACAGTCAATGGATCAAGACAGCGGCTCGACTGCACAGAGCTCAGAGCAAGCCGACGCAGATGAGGGACTTGCAAATCGACATGGCACTGATAACGAAAGCGACTGTGGCCTGGACATGAATACTCGTCCTTCACACCTTCCCACCGAGGTCTCCATGTTTGACAGGCCATGTGAAGTTGAGTCGCACGAATCCAGGCGCATGACTAATGTTGTTCTGTCGCATTGCGATGTCACGCCGCCATCTTGCAGCCTGCATTCTCCATCCTCCTTCCCTGGTTTTGGCGATCACATATCGCCATCACACTCTCTCCTATCGAGAGGGAGTATCAGTGTGGGAATTGCAGCCCTCGGAAGTGCAAGCACACGACTCGGAGGGGAAATATCCAGGTATTCCAATTCCTTTGCCACATCCATTCCACATCCCCGTACCGAAGCAGGCCTACTGAACGACCCTCAAGAAGCCGGGCTATTACGTCATTTCGTCAGTCATCTGGCCATTTCGTTTGATCTAACAGATTCTTCATGCCATTTTCGCAAAATCGTGCCCCAGCGGGCTCTGAACGACCCAATTTTGATGAACGCAATCCTCGCCGCCTCCGCCCGTCATCTCAGCCGCGTCAGTGGAGGAGACCCATATATTGCAGACACATACCACCAAAAGTGTATCCAGCATCTCATCCCGATCCTCAGCGACGAGGCTGCAGTATTGGACGAGAACCTTCTAGCTAGCACTGTCATCTTGCGGTTCCTCGAAGAGATCGATGTGCCACTGTCGGGCAAAGTTCACTTGGACGGCGCAGGCCACTTGATCGGAGCTCATGCCTTCGTAAGTGCGCAAGAGATCTCTGCGGTTTCTGGCGGCCTGCGACTTGCTGCCTTCTGGGTTGGTCTTCGGCAGGAGATATACGTCGCGTTCGTGAACCAGCGGTCAATTTCTTTCCCCTTACAGCATTGCACCGTCGATCGCTCATTTGGGGCTGCGGACGAAGGCACATGGGCCAATCGGATCGTCTTCCACTGCGCAGAGACCATACAATGGTGCTTTGGACTTCTTGAGCATGAACGATCGACCGCCCGATTTGAAGAGCTTTTAAGCTACGCTGGGAACTGGTGGAACTCCATGCCTCCGTGCTTTACCCCTGTGTACTATCGTTCTGCCGATACCGACCCTAATGCTGTATTTCCAGAAGTTATATACTTCTCCGATGCCGTTGTCACAGGCATACAACACTATCATCTCACTCTCATTCTGTTGAGAGCGTATGATCCCACGATACCTAAACTTGGGTCTCGACGGACAACAGCATTGAGAGAGATGGATAACGGGATCAAGCATCACACAAAGATGCTTTGTGGGCTCGCGCTAAGCAACAGTAGCACGCCGCCGAACCTTGTGACCGCCTCGATGGCAGTGACAATGGCCGGTGACAAATTCACAGCAATAAAAGAGCAGGAAGCATGCCTTCAAATCTTAGAAACTTGTGAAGCTGAGCATGGATGGTCAACTACGACCGCTCAGAAAGATCTCAAAGAAGCATGGGGTTGGGACTGAAGGAGATATGACTTTCACGCGAACAACAAGGGCGTCCCGATCATCTTCCACGGGTCTCGTGGCCGCCACTTCCAATAGATGTCCCGCTTACAATGGATTGTCATGACTTCCAGGAGCCGAGCTGACGAGTACGCTTCAGGATTTGACTCATCTGCATCCGTCCAAGACCTGTACGTGTCTTCGTACTTTCTAGAGAATGCAGAGCGTATCTCGACCCCATTTGGCCGAAACCAGCACATGCGACATTGAGCTTCTGCACTATTCTTCTGTTTCGGCGATGACAGAGGTAACTCGAGGGATAGAGATGGAGGTAGTCTTATCACTGCTAAGCAAGCTTGGTGTCTCTTATCAGCTCGATGTCAGGTCAAAAGTGAACCAATATCAACAAAGAGGGAACACCTTCTTGAGTAGATCCGCGATTACCGTATGACACTATCAATCCTATCTCCGATTAGGTCAAGTTGGCCCGTCGGGCCACAGACACGATAGGCAGCATCTTCCGCATCACTTTGCGGGGAAGAAGGACGATCGCCTTTTGTTCCAGCTTAGACCCTCCTTTGAACGACAAGAGCGGATCAGCGGAGGCCATCTCGGTGAACTTAGATAGAAAGAGAAAGCTCTCTGGGTTGGACCTGCAGCCAAGATACTGGCCGCCTGGAGCACGTATTCAGCAAACGTACCCGAGCTGGTAACAAGGCTACGGCGATGAATATCATCCTCTGGTTCACGAGTCAACCACTAGTGCTTAATGACCTAGTCTTGGTATTATGCCTGTGAGCAAAATTCCATCATTCATTGACTGAGGTTCGCTGCTTTGAGCATCACATATTTTTGAAAAATAGGTTAAGAGACGAGCGCTTATCGCTGGACTGTTCATGTATGTAGCAAAGAAGCATGGTAGAGAGGGCCGTTTGTAGAGAATTTACCCATACATCTGTTCTTTGAGCGATTGCGCATCTAAGCCTTAACCATACTGAGATCTCTCCTCCAAACCTTCAAAGGCAATGGACCTGCCATCAAGTTTGTGGTCTCCCATCTGTCCTGCTCCCACTCGGGATGAAGCAAAGCAAAGTCATATCTGTGAACGACACTGGCGAGGAGCACAGTCTGTTCGAGATAACTAATGTTACGACCAATGCAGCCGCGAGAACCAGCACTGAAACTGATGAAGTACGGTTGCAGATCCTTGCCCTTTTCTCCCAGCCATCGGGACGGATTGAATTTTTCTGGCTCGGGGAAAATGACAGGATCACGGTGTGCGACATATGCCGAGATAGATACTGTTGTATTTCCCTCGACCCACTCGTCGAGGATCTTTGAGCCCTCTGGAGGAGTACGCCTCGGCAGACCGAAGGTTGTCGATGGCGTGATACGCAGTGACTCGTCTAGACAGGCCCGAAGGTAAGGAAGGTGCTTGACCTTGTCATACGGAGCAACAACCTCTTCAGGTTCGAGCACAGCATCGACTTCCTCACGCAGGCGTGAAAGACATTCCGGGTTCTTCAACAACCAGACCATAACGTTGTTCATGGCAAGGGCGGTGGTATCCGAACCCGCGTTGAGCATGATGCTGACTTCCGCGATCACTTCACCCCACTCGAGATTGTTTGGATTGCCGTTCTTGTCCTCCATGAGTGCCTGGAAGAAGTCGTCCAGCTTTTCACCAGCACGATAACGAGCCAGGCGTTTTGTTGCCCTGTGATAGACCAGATCATTCCAGCCTTCGTTGAGCTTCCACATTTTCCGGAAACTTGGGAAGATCTTCGAAACGTACTTGCTGTTGAAGTCATACCATTCGGTAGCCCAGACAATGAGAGCTTGTGCTTTGGCCGTAGCGTGAAGACCTGCACGGTACGATTCCACTTGGTAGACTGTACCATCCATCTTCTCGCCTACGACTTTGTCGTTACCGGCATCTAGGAAACCCAATCGTTCTGATAGACCAATATCTGCGATTGCATCCATAGTGAAGAAGTTACTGTATGCTCGGTAGTCAAATTTGACATCTTGCGACTCCGGGAGAACACAGCCCTCAGGAAGAGGCGTAGTGCAATGAGCATCGCAGGCTTTGATAAAGCGGTCGGTTTTATCGGCAACCTTGTACTCCCACCCCTCCAGATTCTTGAGGGCATATGCGCTAGACATCATCTTCCTCTTCCGAGCATGCTCGCTCTTATCGATTACATCCGCAAGATGAAAGTGCGAGCCAGAGAGTGCCTCATAGAAGACGTCCTTGGTGCATCTTGAATTATGTCCATATATGTCCTTTATAGCGTTCACACTTCCAAAGGAGAGAGAATTGGGGCCGATGCGAATGACTGGATGAGTTTTATGCATCTCGTAGAGTTTCTTAGACCGGATACCCATGTAGGCTTCCCACATGAAGCCAAGATTAGTGAATCCAGCCAGAGGGTTGATACACGGGTATTTACGGAGTCCTTTTGGATCCCTTAGATAGTCCCATAGTGGCTTGACGATGAAGTACGACAGAAGGCCAATGATAGAAATGAACGATAGTAGCGTGGCGTACATGATAAGCAAAACTTGGGAAGATTGATGACCGAAGATGTATGTTGACTGAGTGCAGATATTTGAGAGGAGTCGTTTTGAGAATATGAACGATACACTCCGCTTACTCAGCTACCCAAGCTGCAAAGCGATGGACATGACGGAGACTTGTTCATCGGGCAACTACCCATTGTGAACACGACCCTTGAACCTTGGACAGAGCCAAGTTGCACTAGCGGAGTGAGTAGCCGTGATGTTCGCGCCGGAGAAGTGACAGGAGGTGTTGTTTTGCGGAAAATGTTGCCCTAACATGACTCGATGAGTGGGGATGCGGAGAAGTTCACTATCCACCCCACACTTGTCCACATGTGCCTCGTGACATGATACGTAAGTTCTGGACATATACCGAAAGTCTAAAGCCGTGCGGGCCGTCTTTCCATATTCGATGAGAAAAGCATCATGAAGCCGCCGCCGCCTAGTCCTCGCTTGCGCGGCTTGCACAGCTCGATGCGCTTTGTGCGGAGATCTTACGTACCCAGTAGAGAAAGCTGAACCGCAAAGCCACACGTGTAGTGCCAGAAGCCCGGCGATAGGACCTGTTTTTTCCTACAAAACAACACTCTGAGAAAGGCTTCTTTCCGATGGATGGCGATCCTAGGATTGGTGAGGCGGTCCTTACTTAATGTCCGAAAGAACCTTTCCTTGACCATTCATTGAAGTCACTCTCCGTCCTGTTTCCTTATCATTTCGAAACTATCATGACAAGTTCGCTTGACCCCCTTCTCTCTGTGTTTGGTAAGCCCTCTGGCTACGCCGATTATGCTGCAATCGCAGCCTTCAGCTTTGCATGGGGCACATATCTCCTAAAAGGAAAAGCATGGGATAGACCCGACCCCTACCATCATGTTTGGTTTGAAAAGCCACAGATCGCAGATACAGCAGCCGGTGATAGAGTCAAAGAGACTCGGGATATCTCAAAGAAGCTTGAAGACACAGTAAGGAGATCCTAACATCAGCGAACGATCTTGTTTATCACTGACATGGCCGCAGAACGATAAAATCGTAATTTTTTGGGGCTCGCAGTCTGGTACAGCGGAGGGCTTTGCAAACCGTCTGGGTCGAGAATGCCACTCACGATTCCGGCTGAATGCCCTGGTAGCAGATCTGTCTGACTATGATATGGAGACTCTTCAGCACATCAAGAAAGAAAAGTTGGTAGTCTTCGTCGCGTCAACTTTTGGTGAGGGTGACCCTAGCGATAACACTGCTGGATTCTTGCATTGGATTCGCGCTGCCGAAGTATCTCTTGAAAATCTGCACTACTTCGCTTTTGGACTCGGCAACAGCAATTACAAATACTATAACAAGGTCATTGATTTGATCGCGCAGTCACTTGATGCTCTTGGTGCGCAGCGACTCATGCCAGTAGGAAGGGCGGATGATGCCAAAGGTGCAACCGAGGAAGACTTCATTGCGTGGAAGGAAGAATTCTTTGACTATCTCTCGCGGACTCTCGGCCATCAAGAGTACGACGTGGTGTACGAACCTTCACTATTAGTGGAGCAAGACACATCACTCGACCTTATCGACCTCCATCAAGGAGAGCCTGTGGTAGATAACAGAGGCCTGGTTGGATCATCAGCCGTCAAGCCCTTGCGTATCAAAGATATGCGAGAGCTCTTTCGCCCTTCAGCTGATCGGAATTGCTTGCATGCCGAATTGGACCTCACTGACTTTCCCGAGATGAACTACAAGACTGGTGACCACCTCATCATTTGGCCGAGCAACCCTAACGCTGAAGTCGAGCGCATTCTCAAGCAGCTCGGGCGTCTCCATGAAGCCGATGTGCCCATCTTGATCAAAAGTCTGAATGGATCGAAGGTTAAGATCCCCACACCGACAACCCTATCAGCACTTTTGCGATACTATTTGGAAATATGTTCCCCTGTCTCTCGCGAGACGGTTGCCAAACTTGCCCAATTTGCACCTACAGAATCGTGTCGCCTGTTCTTGGACGGTATATCACGAGATCGTTCAAGATATTCAGCTTTCCTCGCAACGACACACATAACTGTTGGCAGATTACTCGAGGTCTCCACCAGCTCTGAACCAGCTTCTTGGTCATCTTTACCCTTATCTTTTCTCTTGGACGCCTTTCCGATGATGAAGCCGAGATCATACTCGATTTCGTCTTCCTCCGTCGTTTCTCCACGCACACCTAGCATCACCGCAGTCGTCACACAAGCAGCCGTCCAAAATCCGACAGCAGGCCAGATCACGATTCCCGGTTTGACGACGAACTATTTACTGGCTCATCATGTCCAAGACAAGAATACATACTCTCTCCAGGGCCCTGGTAACACTCTCGAAGGCCGTAAAGTCTATGCGCAGATCCGCAAGTCCAAGTTCAAGCTTCCAGCTCTTTCGAGTCAACCTATCATCATGATTGCGGCCGGAACTGGTATCGCACCATTCAGAGGCTTCATACAAGAACGCGCTCGCATGAAGCAAGTAGGCAAGGCTTGTGGGAAGATGCTTCTTTACTTTGGATGCCGGAGTCCCGATGAAGACTACATCTACTGTGAGGAATTGGCACAACTACAGGCAGTGCTCGAAGATCAGCTCTGCATTGTAACCGCTTTCTCCCGCTACAAAGGCAAGAAGATATATACACAGGACCGCATCCTGGAGGATAAGGACAGAATGTTCGGCATGCTGACAGAAGCAAATGCCAACCTTTACATCTGTGGTTCAGCGACGATGGCCAGAGAGGTCAATAACACTATCAGCAGTATTATCAAAGATGGAAACGCTTGGACAGATGAGGAGATCAAGACGTGGTACGAGACAAAGAAGAAGACGAGGAAGTTCCAAGAGGATGTGTGGGGATAAGAGGCTGAACTCGAACAGTCTACAGCTTTCGTGGTTGATATGTACTCTTACATTCAAGATTCCTTGATCACCTGGACATGAGGCATCCAGCACAGCACATGATCTCTGATTGCCCATACCAAATCGTGCACGACCGACCTATCTATTTACACGAAGACCATTTCTGCTGCAGAGCGCCCGTTCTGTCCTGTGGCAAGAACTATCACCATCACTTTGCTCAGATCAGGGACTCGCTTCTCCTCTTCTCTAACCTTAGACCAATTCACATCCGCTGTAATGCTTACGACTGCACTCCACGTACCACTCGATATAGTAACACTCTTAACTTCATCACCATCCACGTACACTTGCAGTGCAGATAGGTTGCCGCCGTCTACAGTGCCTGACAATTGAATCATCTTGGATTTAGTCTTTTCCGAAGCCTCGACCTGGTCCACTGTCAGCTTGGGTGGAAGATGGTCAAGCTTGTGTGTTGAGCCCGCAATCATGATGTTATCTGTCGGCAGTGCTGGTGTTCTTGAGGGCTGCTGGCGTAAGCATGTAGCTTTCTCGAACGCGAACGCATACGTGAAGAGTGCATTGTCATCATATGCCTTGCCAGCGAACGTCAAGTTGACAGGCATCTTTGTGTCGGCCATAACACCCATGGGTACGCTCACGGTAGGGATGCCTAACTGTCTGATAGCACAATTGCCGTTCGAGTACAAAACGCCATTGCGCCATGCTTCAGCCGCAGATTCCTCATTCATGTCTGCATCTGCTTTGCCGACATCAGCGTTACAGGGCCAGACAACTGCATCAAGTCCTTCCTCGGCGAGCCAGTCTTCGTAGTCTGTCTTACGGCGAGCTTCCAAATTGCGTAGTGCTTGTTCCAAGCCCGGCATATCGTACGTCCGGGGTCGATCAGCAGTGATGTGGGCAACGACATCTTTGTGGCGGACAAGCGGATCCATCTGGTCGTAGCGATCGAGGAGGGCTCCGGGTGGACGAGGGAAGATAGTTGCTGAATCTACTTGAGCCAGAGAAGTTGCCACGTTCGCATCACCATTTGCAGCGAGGAAGTCGTCCCACGCATATGCCATGAGCTGTGACATGTCGACCTCGTTGCGATGAGGTGGGGCTGATGTTTCATCTGCAGCGCCTTGACCGTCCGTTGCATCGAAGTTGGTGACAACAGGAAAGTCCACTTCGACAACAATAGCACCTAGGAACTCAATGGCCTTTCGTGCTCTGCTCCAGAGGTCGATCACGGATTGACGTGTGTACACAGCTCGAGCTCTGGGGTCTGAATCTGTGCCACCGATGTACATCTTGGGGACACCTATCTTCTTGCCTGAAAGCGCATTTGGATCAGACAGCTGATGATAAGACGCGGGCCGTACATTGTCAACATTGGGTAATTTAATGAATGGCTGCTCACGCCAGAAGTCGCAGGTAGTCTTGTCGTCCTTGACAGCGATCACGTCAAGGAGCGAGAACATATCTGTCACCGTGCGCGTGTGTGGCACAACGACATCGCAGGTGGGAAACAGCGGCCAGTTGCCACGAATTGACAAGATGCCTCTAGACGGTGTGTAGGCAACCAGACCATTATTCGAGGCAGGCGATCGTCCCGAGGAAATAGTTTCCTCACCCATGCCGAATACACCGAAGCTTGCAGCTGTCGCTGTTGCACTTCCATTGGATGAGCCGGACGCGAATGCAGCGGTGAGGTATTCAGCATTATATGGCGACTCGGCGCGGCCGTAGACGCCTCTCTGCATTCCTCCAGCCGCCATTGGGGGCATGTTCGTTCGACCGAGAATGACTCCGCCAGCCTCTTTAATCTTGGCCACGGTGAAAGCGTCTTCGTTTGTGATGAGATGCTCGAAAGCAGGCGATCCGGCGGCTACTGTCATACCGGCCATTTTGTAAGAGTCTTTGATCGTGCACGGAATGCCATCCAGGAGTCCCAGAGATGTTCCGGATGCTCGACGCTGATCAGATGCTTGAGCTGCAATGAAAACGTCGCCGTTGATGATTGGAATCGCGTTCAGGAGGAGTGTACGGCGATCGTACTTTGCAATTCGAAGCAATGTTTTTGCTGCAAGCTCGACGCTGTTGGTATGACCTTGAGCAAGCGCATTGGCAAGGTCCAAGATGGTGGCCTCGACGATGGAGAGTGACTTTTTGTGTGTGGGTAAACAGCGCTTGTGGTATGTTGATCGTAGATATGCTTACCTCTGATTTGGTAGAGGATCTCATGGTCGCTTGGGAGACGGTGCAAGAGTGTGTCAGTGTGATATACTTGTCTGCAGAAGTGTTGTCACGATGGAGGATGGGAGCGATGGTCCGCATGGGAAGATGGGCAGATCGAGCTGCTTAAAACAACCAGAGCAACATAATTGATTGAGCAGCCCCAATTGCAAAATACAAACTTATCTTGCAATATAACAGCTGTAAGCGACGAGAAATCAAAGGCAATCAACAATTGCTGAATGAATCAGGGTTATCGATCCTTTTAGCAGCTGTTATTTGAAACCTGGGGTTGACATTGAGCAGCTGAAAATTCATCCAGGTCCATTGTGAATTCCGGAAGAACACCAGGATCTGCTATAACTAGTATGGTTCTTTCCCTTTGTTCACATTGCCAGACTCTCTATACTTACTGCTCTGCTCCGCCTTGCGCAATCATGATGGCAGAACGCATTGACGCGGATTCTGATCACGTTCCTGGCACTGTGCGTCTTGTTGATGTGGTTGGCCGGGCCTCCTCTTCCACGCGCCATGACGCTTCTCACAAGGACGTCGTGCTTATACCACAGCCGAGCCCAGATCCAGAGGACCCATTGAACTGGGCCCATCACCGCAAACTTCTCGCTGTCGGCATGGCGTTTCTATATGTCCTCGGTACTGGAATTGCCACTTCCCTCCAATACTCGGTACTTGCAAACATCACGGCCGACACAGGCATCTCCACCAACGATCTCGTTCAAGGGACTGGTATCATGTTTCTGTTCTTTGGTTGGGCGTGTTTGTTCTGGCAACCCATCGCGCTTACATACGGTCGTCGCGGCGTCTACCTCATAACGATGTTCCTCACAATTCCAATCATGGTTTGGACTGCCTACTCATCGTCTGCTGGAGAGTGGTTTGCTCATCGGGTTCTGATTGGCATCGTAGTATCGCCCATCGAATCGCTCTGCGAGGTCACGGTCTTCGATCTCTTCTTCGCCCATAATCGAGGCACTTATATGGGACTGTACGTCTTTACCCTATTCGGATCTAATTTTCTTGCGCCGCTTGTTGCTGGTTGGTTCAATGATGCCTACGGTTGGCGATGGACAATGAACTTAGGCACCATCATCTGTGGTTTCGTCTTCATCATCATGTTCTTTCTCATGGAGGAGACGATCTACTTCCGTCGTAGCACTTTGGAAGGTATCAGCGTCGAGATGGAAAGAACCAACACCTGTGCAGCAGAACCAAAATCACAAGCAAAGGTACCTCAACTTTCTCATGATGATACTGTTCAGCAGCGCATTGAGGTTCCGACTTGTCAAAGCTCAAAGTCGCGCTGGAGCAGATACAATCTGTTTCGACCATTGCCTGGGCGACCGAGTAACCGCGATACGCTGCGTATGATGTATCGACCTCTTGTCATGATCTACAAGTTTCCTACGGTCGCATGGACTGGCTTTCTCTATGGTATCAACCTCGCGTGGTACAACGTCCTGAATGGCACAGCAAGCCCTGTGTTGACGGGAAAGCCATACGAATGGTCAGCAGCGCAAGTCGGCTGTGTGTACGCGGGTCCAATTGTTGGTGCGGCATTGGCTTGTCTATGGTCTGGAAAAATCGCTGATTGGATAACGCTTGCGCTTGCACGACGTAACAATGGAATCAAAGAGCCAGAGCACCGCCTCTGGGTCCTGTCAGTCTCAGGCATCATCTCTGCTGCTGGTCTTGTTACATGGGGGGTTGGTGCCTATCATGAGGTTCATTGGATCGGGTTGGTATTTGGTCTCGGGATGTTGACCTTTGGATGTGTGACAGGAGGTTCCATCGCAGTGAGCTACAATGTGGACTGTTTCAAGGAGATCGCTGGGGAGACCATGGTATCCATCATGATCATTCGAAACACGATCGGCTTCGCTTTCAGCTATGCCATCACCCCATGGTGGACGAGCCAAGGCCTACAAAACTGTTTCATCGTCGCTGCAGCCATCTCCCTTGCATGTACATTCTCGTTCTTGGTCCTGATCAAATTTGGAAAACAACTCCGGCGACGATCCATTCCGGCATATCAGAAGTACATGTCGACTGCGGCTGTTTCCCAAGAATGATAGCATATAGCTAAACACCCAAACGATTTTCCTTGATCAGACTCTGGTTAGACAAGCTATCAAGCAGCCGTTTCGTTCGGAGGTCGCAAATCAGGCAGCAAGGATGTGTTAGAACTTTCTGAAACTTTTCTGTGGCTGGCACACAAAGACTACGGTACCCATAGACTTGCTCTAGGCCTCTTGTATTTTGTATCCATATAGAAGTCTTGTCTTCATGCGGTGACTTCAGCGAGCATAAGCAATTTGTGTCCAGCAGCTCCGGCTGCAGGAACCACACTCTCCAGACTCTTGACCAGATCTCCCAGAAATGCGATGAGTCGTCTTGCTTCTGCTCTGTATTGCCCGTTGTCGTAACGTGATGCGTTTGAGAGCATGTGACCGACTCCAAGTAGCTGATGCACAATTTGATTACTCGCAATTTTGAACATGATGAGCGGCGCTGAGCTTAACTCTTGCAAGAAGTTCTCAGCAACCTCCATGACGTCGCGTGCAGGCGCTTGGCAATAGAGCAAGGCCATGATCGTGGTCGTTGTTTCGGTGCAGCTGATTTGTACAGCCATGTACCTGCACCGATTGCTGAGACCGTCGCTATCCGAATCATTCACTCGGGTCAACGTACGGGGCTTGCTTGCCTTGAGTTGAGCTAGGCTGTCGAGCAGCATAGTCGGGGATGGGCGATCGCAGAAGACAGCTAGTATAGCTTTGCGATTCTTACACGCACGCAGACCGAAAATAGCATATTCAAGGACACGAAAGAGATCTGTGATATAGTCCCAGCCAGCTGTCCAACTTTGGGTTTCTGGGTCCATCGCAGGAGTGATTCGGGGGTAACAGACTGACACTTGTGCTTCTGGTAGGCGCACCAAGTGACCAAAGACGCACGATGAGTGTATCTCAAGACGATATACACACCAGAACAATCTTCGGCGATCATCGACTTCAGATAGAGAGAGATCATCGGACCAGCGATTTTCATCATGGAAACCATACTCAGCGACGATGGCATGATACATGCCGAGGTAGCGATGGAAATCGCCGTTGTTCCCGCGCTGCAGTGAATACACTGTGAGCAGGCCAAACGATCGTAAATAGTCAAGGTCTTGAGGCTGAGAAAATTGCGCAGGAATCTTCGAAATTGCCTCCATGAAGTAATGTTCGCTATCCGGAATTGTCAAGTCTTCGAGCAGTGTCTCGTCAAAGACTGCTTTCAAAACGGCGGCATGCGAGCTGATCGCACATAGGGCCATCAGAAGCATGTACGATGGCTCGTCTGCATCTGGGATGCCATGCTCCCATCGTGTAAGAAGATCGTTCTCGTTTAGGAATGGGAAGCTCAATAACAGAGTCAATACTTAGGGCCTCTGTGCATGTTGCGATACGACAGCACGTACTAGCATTGATAGATTGTGTCGCGATAGATACGGACAAGCTTATGTATGGTCTGAAGCGACATGATATGCGAGTTTTGAGACAGCCGCCTCTCGGTCTCGTGCTCATCTGAGGCCATGACTCGCGGTCTTCGTCCTCGCTTCTTGACAGGCCTGTTCATCGTGCATTGAACACCGTAGCTTGTACATGTAACGCAAAACCCATTGCCGTTTGGTTGATCGTCATCTTGGTGAGCGCTGCGACGACACCTCAAGCCTCGAGCATGACAGAAATCGCAGGCTTGAGAAGCACGTTGTCTTTTTGTCGCGATGGCTTTGGGCATCGATACGGCTAGATGACAGGGAGAAAATGATTGAGCAGTTGCAAAATGGGAGCACTTGCCATGGTTCTTGAAGCAGCACTCCGTGTTCGATGGGTGGTGGTCGTTGATAAGAAAGATAAGTCGCACGAAATTAACAGTTTAACAGCCACAGCCTCAAACCGCTAGCCATTCTTGGCGTTGAGTGAGATCATGAGTCTGTTGCCAACCATGTTGCAAATGCTAGTCCCTCGTGTCATGCATGAACCGTCTGTCTTCTCCGTCAAACTGCCTGGCTTCTTCGTTATGGTATTCCGATCGTGTGTCAGAGCTATGGTCTGTCCAATCTTCAGGTACCTTAAGACTTTAACTCCGTTCTTGCACGGCGATAGCTTCTCTTCAGATCCCGGTCTGAGACTTAGCCGAGGGAGTCCAATGCACAAGCTACCCGTCTATGTGAATACTCACGTCAACGACCGTCATAAGCACAACCCCGCTTCTTGGTCCAACAAACACCCATGCTTTCTCGCCAGCAACATGAAATCTCCGCAATATAATCAAGGTGGAGATGATTGCGGCTCAACGGAACAATGCAAACTTAAGAACGAAACTGCCGGTGCACTCGCACCAGACTATTTCGACTTGGCGGCTCGCGTGTAAAACAAACAATGCCTAACACCAAAACGATCCATGTGCCTCACCTTGGTGGCATTGAGGCTTCCTACCAGACCCCAGGTCTCGACGCGAATAAACCGACATTGGTGCTGGTCAACTCCTTCACCACCTCTTCCGAGCTCTACAAAACTCAATATGCCAACAGAGACCTCACAAGCAAGATGAACTTACTGGCGATCGAGCTACTTGGTCATGGACAAACACGCTGCAAGCTTGAGAACTGGACTTATTGGGATACTGCATGGATGAACATCCAAGTCCTGCAAGAATTAGAGAAGAGGGGAGAGATCGATCAAGGCAAAGGAGTCTTTGTGCTTGGCACTAGTCAGGGAGGTTGGATCACTGTTCGCATGGCTCTATTAGCGCCCGACAAGGTCAGTATCACCCCACTTCGCTCAAGATGCGATGTCGTTAGTAAACTTGAGCTCACACAACCACAGATCACTGGTATCATCCCTTTGGGCACAAGTCTCGACTTCGAATCTCCCAAAACTCGCGAACTCGGCTGTTGGAACGCGCCAGAAGATCTAACGCCCAACATCACCGCATGGAGCAAACCCGCAGACTCTTCCTTCCGTCCCGGCAACCATTTCGCCGACTTTCTGATCGACATCGGTTTCGGCAAAGATTGCGACTCGTCAGTTCGTGATTTCTGGCGCAGCGAAATCGCAAGTAACTATGTGGGCGAAGAAGGCAGGAAGAGGATCAGAATGGCAACTATCAATCTGCGGGATAGGGATGGGTTGCATGGCAGATTGACTGATGTCAAGTGTCCTGTGCTGTGGCTGCATGGAACGGCGGATGCGGTGTACTCAGTTGCGAATGCCGAGAGAGAGATCAAGATGTTTGTGAGGAGTCCGAATGCACAGCTCAAGGTTGTGCAGGATGGGCAGCATTTCCTATCGTTTAGTCATCCTAAAGAGGTGGATGGTGCGGTCGCCGAGTTTGTTTCAAAGTACTCTTGAGTCGGTCTTGTATCTATAGTTTCACCGTCAATACGATTCGCGCAGAAACAAAATCTTCCGGTGCTTCTGATGCAGTTTTGTGAACATGGTAAGATACAAAGGTAGAAACTTACGTAGGGAGGATAAGCACGTCCAAGTTCTTCCACATGCTCAGGTCTTCTACCTATTCAGCTCGCATCATAACGAGGATTAGACGATTAGACGTTGTGGACAAGAGTGGACCATGATTGAGGCATCGCCGATGCACTGAAACACGACATCTTAACCTGACGCTAGATATCGGGGACATTAGGTAGCCAGCTATACCAGCCCTCAGCTAGCCAATTCGTGGCTATTTCATTTATGTTTGACTCCATCGCTTCATGTTGGAACAAAAAGGCCAGTGTATCTGCTACATCCGTGTTTGGGCTGCAGTGGAGCTCGATTTCTGTGTTGGAAGCAGTTATACTGATCTCGCCGATATTTTCCAAGCTCAGATCTTCGACCTTATCATTGTCCCCTTCTTCTTGGGGGACAGAAGCAGATTCAGACACAATTCGACAGTCAGTGATGGTTGCTGATGCATGTCGATCCTCATGGTGGCTCTTCAGCTGCAAGATATCGTTGCAACGGTACCAGTCCAGGGCTAGAAGATGTACACTTCTGAGGTACCGATCGGCCCATGCACACCAAGGTTTTCGTAGATCGCGGAGTGCATCCACACACAACTCGAGATCACGAATGGATTGATGCCGATCTGGGTTTGCCGGATGTGCATCGATAAGGAGAATGACAGCAGCCGCGAATGAGAGGTGCACGGCAGCAATTGGTATTTGACGCTGTAGATGTTAACATCCGAAGCTTTGATAGTCTAGGATTGGGGCATTGGTGAATTAGTGGTGCCCAGGTGGATTTCCACATACTAGAGTGTAATGCTGCTTGAGCCTCTGCATCAACTTTGCAATCTGGGTTGCAGAGTAGCGACATATCTCCATATGTCTGTTGTTCTGATATGGAGTCTTATGAACATCTGCCATATCACTGGAATCAAGGCTGGCTCTAGATGGTCGCCTAGCTCGTTTATCCTGAATCAGAGGTCGGTGAAGAAGTATAAAGTGAGTATGGTATTGAATGCTAAATCAAGCTGTGAGTTATCATAGCTGAGACAAAGTGAAAGTAACAAACATACTGGGAAAGATATACATGAGGGAGTGCCGCTGTTTTGGGCGAACATGGTAGGCGTAGATGACTGGGCAGTGCGCGGTAGTATGTTCGAAGATCCATATCTGCTTTGGTCACGATTCCTTCGATGTCGCTGACAGTGAATTTGCTGTTTGGGGCATAACTGCAAGAGCAACACTTCTTAGCTCATCAAATACTGAAATGAATATGGCACGAGGAGGTCCATGGTCTTCTTACATTATTTCAAGAGCTTCACAGGCGATGATCATGCACTCCGAGACAAAATGAGCTGTAGATGCAATGTGTGAGTGCGCGCCCAGGGTTTCAGTCTGGCCTACGTCGTCTCGATGCGATGTCCAAGGAAAATACTCATCCCTATTCAAGGTGGGCTTGGGACATGTGAAGCCGGACTTTTGAACACTACTGGGTCTGCCAAGGCCACATGCAAAGAGTCTTCATATGTCCTAGAGTCAGCCGACCTGCTCTGTGAAGTGGATGAAGCAGATAAGAGGAACCTGACAGCACTTACTTGTCCACGACGAAACATCCCCACCATGTAACTTTGCGGACCTCTGCTTCTTCTTCAGAGATGAGACCTGCCGCGACCCACGCAGAGCAATCCATATGCAACCCAAGGTTGTGAGCCATCCTGATCGCGTTACCTGTATGCCTTGTTAGCAATAGAGTTTGGGACAGCCTGGTATAACGAGTTCGAGAATCCGCTCGAGTAGAGGTACTAACCACAATACAGCCATCCAAGGGCTTCTTTACCATCTGACATTATTCGTAGGGCCAATATCGCCGCGGCCTGGACAGTGGTGACAGAAGGCGCTTCATTTTCGTACAGAAGTAAAATCTTGGCTTGCTCGCAAAAAGCGTTACCCGAGGTGCTTGGGTCATGAGCGATCGTCCGCAGCTCGGGACGGTCTGAGTAACGCGCAGAGATGGCAAAGATGGCAGAAAGAAGTAGTGGTGAGCAATAGCGCCCATCGTCAAAACCCTGTCGGCTCTTCAAGAACGCGCTTTTGTCTACGATATAATTCCAAGGATTCTGCCATCTCCAGTACAAATCCAAGAGGTGCTCCTCGAGTTCATTTGGCACGGTGATAAGAGCACCAAGCTGGGCTGCTGCAGCGAGCCCTTGACTCTGGATCCTTGTCCATGGGTCTGGCACTGTGGTTGCACAAGGAGGCTGCTTGGGCAGATTCAAGGAGCTTTGCGAGCCAAAGTAATGCAATTGTCCATCATCAACAAGAGCGGGACGTCCAACGAGACCAGTCAGCTCGGAAAAGGGGTCTTCATGGTCGTCATCGGAATCCTCGCCCTCGTCTTCGCATTCGTAGTGCTCCGGGCCAATGGTGTCAGTGACGTTTGAGCCGAATGTCTTCTGCTCGTCCACGAGCATGAGTTGAGACTCCAAATGCCGGATGCGAGCCTGTAAGGACTCGACGTACTTCTTGCTGGGTGGCCTAGTGTCGACTGTCAAGGACAAGATCTCCAGACAACATTTGGCGGTTTCTGAGAGTATGTCAACACGGCCGAGAGACTACTCACCTGCGCTTGTTCTCCGTATGCTGATAGATGCACTCAAGGGCTTTACGCGCACAAGGACCACATATAGGCTGCTTACCGTCACACTAAGCACGCATGAGGACTGCAATGCGTAGCGGTTACAGGGAATGCTGAACTCACCCGCATGCGCTTTGCGCGACACGCCATGCAGGCGACAGACACACGCTGTCTATTGCTGTTTGACTGCATCGCAAAGCGTCCGCGGCGACTTGATCGACGAATCGAATTGAGATTGCTTGAAATTATGCGAAGATACCTAAGCAAGACTCAATGAGCGGTTTGGTACTGCTTTATGACTCGGGGGTAGCAGTACCCCGCTTCCGCTTGCGTCGACCGCGCCCAGGTTTCTCAAAGATAAAGGAACCCGAAGTCAAACCTTAATAGAAGGGGATTCAGGATAGAATTGCGTTTGAAACACACATCGAAGCCTCCCGTCGCCCGATGAGCGACAGATGCCCATGATTCGGCCAACGTTGCACACTTACAGGTCAGTCGAGCCACGCGAGTGACAAAAATCTGTCTGTATCACCCTCATTCTTCATGGACGTGCTCACGTGTAGGTATCACAGCTAGCACTACTGTCTGCAAATCTGCTAGCCACAACAAATTTTCCTGTCTGATACACTGCTATCTCGGTCAACGTTCCCCTAACGGCTACTCTACCACACAGAATTGCTATTCTTCTCGAGAGAGCCAGCTGCCTCCACCTGATGCTCTGCAGTATTAACTCATGGATCCGCGGCATAGTGGACGGCACGTGCAGCGTGCTTGTTGACACGGAGGCTAAGCTGGTCAGGTCGGCAGTAGTGCCCAACGACATCAAGATTTTGCTTGGCCAGTCGCTTCAAAGACAAGTCGACCTCAGCGATGAGGATGCCCTCCTTGCTAGGATCCAGACGCTCCACAAGTTCATCGGCCCAAGGGTTGTAGATCATGCTGAAACCACCGCCGTGCTCAGGGTGGTTGTTGGCGTAAGCAAAGTTATCGACTCTGCAGCGCTTGAAGCTGTCCCGAGTCATGACCTGAGTGGCGACAGCAACATAGCAGGCACCCTCAAGGGCAACGATCTGGGAGAAACGGGAACACATTGTATCGGTGATGTGGCCAGGCCACGAGGGGTCGGACTGGCCGTCCTCGGTGATAGGCTGCGGCCAGATTGGAGGCCAGCTGGAAATATGCACATCGACATTCTGCTCGTATTCGTAGTAACGGAGGAGGGTCTGAGTGTGCTCCCAACAATTGAGGCCTCCAATGCGCACGTCAGGGAGCTTGGTGCTGGGCACGACAGTCTGAAGACTCTCGCCTTGGCCGTCGCCGTAGTAGGCGCGTTCGACGTGGGTGGGCTTGATCTTGCGGCGGTGGTGAACGATGACACCGTTCTCGTTGATGAAGGACTGCGCAAGACAACGTGGTTAGTAACCTCAAACCATGGCAATGGTGTGTCCATGAAGAATAGCAGGCTCGTACCTGGGCGATGTAGAGCGTGCCTCTGTATCGTTCGCTGTACCCAAGGACAACGAAGACACCGGCCTCCTTGACGGCGGCGCAGATACGCTTCATCTCGGGAGAGTCCCGTTCCAAGGAGTTACGGAAGTACTCGTCCATAAAGCTTGCATTATCAATCGGGCCATGGGCCCAGATACTCCTTTGCGATTGCATGTTAGTGACACGCGTTCTTCTTGAGCTTGGTGCGATGGGGTCCAGCAAAAGACTTACCATGGATAGCCAGGGATGAAGACTTCAGGAAAGCCGATGACCTGGGCACCCTGCGCTGCAGCCTGCTCAATCAGTGCGATGGACTTGTTGACACCTCCTTCAAGATCATTCCACGCGGGTTCAGCTTGGATGGCAGCGACCTTGAGTTTCTGACCGGTGGCTGACATGTTGGTATCCTAGTAGTAGTACGAGGAAAGCACTTGTGTGATGCAAAAGAAGGGTTGAGCGTTCGTGTTTGGATGGTGGTGTCTGTGATTGAACCATCCAAGAACCTGGCGAGAATTCATGCTTCTTTAAATGCCTTCTCTTTTCGCTTGACTGCTAGTCATAGCGCCTGTAATGGACCTTTTTTGCGACAGTCACTGTATGGTCTTCAGTCCGGCTCAGCATTTGCCTATCGATCCTGGACGTGACAACAACCCTCGTGATTGCCTTCTTAGCATAACCCTAATTTTTTGTCTCTATCAGTGGTCACGAGGTATAGAAGATATCATAATCCCAGACTATCAAAGTGGCCGGCTCAGCAATATCCTATCCAGTGGCTTGGCCTGAGGTGGTGTAGGGCACATCGAGACCGTGCATCATCTACTCTCGGTTCATCAACGGGGTAGCTGATCGACCCGGGAAAGCATTAGCCTATCTTTTCCCCGCAGTGCTGTTCAGGGCATTCGCTGGACCCTTGGTTGATAGTCACGATTTCTAAGCCAACCATGAAACATTATTACTTATACTCAGTGGATCAACATGAGGGGTACTAAGACAAGGTTTTGTTGCGGACAGCGATTGCTAAAGAGTGGTGATCAGGATCGTGTGGTCTATGGGCCGATGAGAGGTTGACAAGTCTGATAAGATAAGCTTTCATAGGGCGCATCCGGTACAAGATGTACCTGTTATCAACTGAACTGCTGATCACAGCATTTACAGGTTGACAAAGTCATCTATCAGCTCTTGTTTCTATTATAATGTACAACATCACTGAGTGTATAAATCTAGCTCGATTCGGCACCATTGAAACCGTCCGACTTCTCAAAAGATAATAACACATCAGTTACTCCCCTGGCAAAATGCCGCTTCTTCATGCCACGGTGCCACTTTGGTTTACCATCTCCATATTTGGAGCACAATGCCGCCAGAACACGACCTCAAGTGCCAAGGCCGATCTAGTACGAATTTTCGACCTCCTCTTGGTCACTGGTGCTTGCTATGTCGACAAGACCATACACGATGACAGTGAACGAGGGCTCGGACGTTCGCGAGTGTGGATCAGTTACTGGAGGTCTCCTGAAGATTTCAGAAACTGGTTCTCGAGCCCAGAAGTATCTGCCTTTTGGCAATCGCTCCCTGACGATGCTGGCTTCAATTGAGCCAACAGCCGTCGCGCAAGACCTTGATATCTTCCCTGAACTCGATTTCAACAGAAAAATCGAGATTCTCTATTATTCTGACCTCAGGTGGATGGAGCGGGTTGGGAGAAGAGATAAAACGCATGTCAAACTCAGATCAAAGTTCATGGAGCGATACGGACCTGATGGAGACATGTCCCATGGAGATTTACTCTTGTGGGTGGAGTTGGGCGTGCTCAAGGCAAAAGACATCGAAGCCGAGTACATTGGATGCTACGAGGCTACAGGATTTTTAGCCTACGATCACGACCCAAATTTTGCTGTGGACGGATAGTCCCTAGTGATTGCCAGGCATGCTAAGGAAGTAAAGATGCGGTTGCCGAGTTTGTGGCAAGATACTCTTGAGTAACAACGGTTTGTATGTAGTCTCGCTGTCGATACGAATGTGGCAACAACAGAACCTTCCGATGAATGCTTGTGTCGCCTTTGCCGAAACCCTGAAGGAGCCATCCGATAACGACACGACACGACAAGCATCATGATCTCCACAATCATGATCCATCTCGCTGTCCTCCTCCCCCGCCAATACCTCACCTTGCACAAAAGGAGAATACAAAAGAAAAAAAGAAAAAATCGTGACTATGTAAGCCGCGGTACGAGAAAATGCCTAAAGTTCCGAGAGATCGTCAGGTCGTGTTGGTGGCAGCAAATCCCATAGGCACATGCAAGATAAGGTTGCGGGTGAACCAGACGACTTGCAGAGCTGACAGGATCAATCTTCCGGGTTACGACGAAAGCGGAGATCACGCCGATCAAGAGTCAACTGCGACTGAGGGTGTCGTGTTCCCTCACCTTTTCATTCCTTGAAGATCAGCGAAGAGTCGCATGGCATGATTTTCACAAGTGGCACGCAAGGATCTGGGTGACAAAAAAAAATTGGACAAAAGCGCAATTGCATTTTTTGACACAGGATGCTAGACATGTGAAACTACTTTTCCCGTCATCATCAATCACTTCATCTCAACCCCCCATCTCAATAAATGCTTTGTTGAACAAGCAACTTCTTCCACCGCGCGCGCAAAATACTGAACTGCAAAACAATGCAAACAGTCGTCAGATCATGTCATAAATGAGTCGTATATCGCAAACCATTTACTGGGCAGCGAAACCAAGCTGGGGAGTCGAGTTCTCCATGGAGAAGACGACAAAGTGAGCCTTGAGGAAAATGTCACCGAAGATGGAGATACCAGAACCGGCGCTGGACTGGATACCACCGTAGCACTGACCACCACCAACGCTGGCGTAGTTGATGTAGCTACCAGGAGTGACGAACTTCTGGCCACCAATGACGGCGGAGAAGCTGGGAAGAGAGGCAGAGCAAGAGAAGATGTAACCACCCTGCTCGTCGGAGTACTGAGCGCTGGGGATCTGGGCGTAGTAAGCGTTGACAACGTTGTCGGGGAGGAGCATGAGGGTGGTGCCAGTGTCAGCAATGGCAGAGTAGGAGCTGGAGACGGTGGAACCGCTGCCGACAGAGTAGCCGGTGGTGGTGAACTGCCAGAAGCCGTTTCTGGTGTTGACAGGGACGTAGGTGATGGCTCCAGTGTACTTGGAGGTGTCAATGTAGCCAAAGTCGTAAGATCCAGGGCCACCCTTCTTCAGGTCGACGGTGAAGAGCTTGCGAGCAAGGGTGTTCTTGACAGTGTCAAAGAAGGTGGTCTGCTGGTCAGGGCTGACAGTGTTGATGGACGAGAAGGCAAGTCCAAGAAGACCGTCGTTGTTAGTGTCCTGCTGGAACTGAGCAGAGATGGAGGTAGCAGCCTCGACAGCCTGAGAAGTGGCGGTGACAGCACCAACAACGACCTTGTCGGCGTAGACAACACCGGAAGCACCAGAGCCATCGCCATAGCTGATGTCCCAAGTCTCGCCGCTGAGTCTGCGGCCGTGAGCAGTGTTGTAAACAGCGTGGCCGGATCTCTGCGAAGTGGATTGCAGAGTGGAGAAGACCCAGAGATCGGCAGATCCAGTGTCGAAGTCGAGGTTCAAGGTAGTACCGCCAACCGAGACGGGGCAGAGGTACTCAGAGTCGCCGTTGTACGAGTTGGCAGTGACGGTGCCACTCTGTTGGGCAGCAGCGGCGGCCTGTTGAACAACGCTAGGAGGAGTACCACCAGTCTTGTGGATGGCCTTTGCGAGGGCAATAGCAGGAGCAGCGACCTTGGTGTTTCCAGTGGCAACCTGGGGAACAGAGAACTTGACATTACCGACGCTGGCTCTAGGCTCGACAGGAGAAGCGACAGCGACGGCTGCGATTGCAGCAATGGCAGCGAGAGTCTGCTGCATGGTGGAAGACGGAAGCGATTGGAAGGAGAGTGAGTGAGTGATGGTGATGGTAGTTCATGTCGAGGGAGGGAGGGCCATTATATAGTACGAGTCAAGCGTTGATGAACGGGATCAACGGACTGTCTCGGTTCCAAGAGCGAGCTGTGGTCGCCTTCACAGTCCTGTTCGGTCGTGTGAAGAATTACCTGCATGGGGTGAATCGGCCAATAATGTTGTACAGAGTAGAGTTTTTGATTTACGGACGAGACAAGAAGCGAAAGATAGATGCAGCATTCACCCGCAGCTGCCTTTCTTGTCCTGGATCACATATTAGCTTCAACGTATAGTGTTCAAGAACAGGGCTTGAAAGCGAGGGATAGACAGATCTACAGTCCAGGACTTTGGTTGTTAAGAGGCAGACGCTTGACCCGCGTGCAGCCGGTGAGCTAAGGAGCGTGAAGCTATATGCTTGGTCCAGCTAAGGGCGAGTAAGCTTGGACTAGTCGGCATGGCATGCAGGTCCGTGTGGGCGACTGTCCATGAGGCCTTTCTGGAGTGTGGGGATCTCCCACCGGCCGCAGATCTATCAGTTGATACCAAGCCGCATTGGGCAGTTGACAATGTTTCAGCGCATGCATTCTCGCCAGCACCTCGTCTTTGTGGACCTCGGTATTTTTGTCGGACAAGACTTGTGAGCCATGTCTGGAGAGTGCTGAAAGTCTGATAGGCTATGCTGTAAACAAGCGAGGATTGGGCCAATGTCACGACTAGCCAATTGGACGAGTGCGACACGAGCAGGTAGCGGCCGAGACGGCGCCATATGCAAGAGACGTCTGGAGTTCATGTAGGTCTAATCAGTCTGCAGATTGCGCCATGATTGTGCCTTCTCGAATCATGGAACATGTGGGCAGGCATGCGGCGTGAGTGGCGGTGAATGTGCGGGAGAAGCAATGGATCTGTCAGTGACTCGTTGTGCTCGAGACTGGCATGTCTGAGGCGACACGTTTCCTTGAGAATTGGCAGTTGTAACGGGTTTGAACGTGTTGGCTGCCGTGGGCACGCCCATGTTGATCTTCCGTTACAGCAGAATCCCGAGCACAAAGGCTTTCGCCAGGCTCGTGACAGCTCGACAGATGGCAACTCAGCAGGGCAAGAACTCGAGGGAGAGTTTCTCTAGGCTCGTGTCGATCATTGGGAAGGGGCAGCTGGAGGTAGCCGAGATGAGCCCGTCTAATTAGAAAGCTTAAACTTATCACATTGCGGGCCATGCCGCCGTGCGTGCGCAGCGCGTGCAACCCCGACAAAACACATGTGACTCTTCCATCACCGACGTGCTGCCAGCCTGTCTGCCTGCCTGCTCATAGCGACAAAGGAGTCAAAAGCCAATCGCTCGTATAATGCTCATCCACTGCTCTCAAACGGGCAGGAGCCTGTCACAACGCATATCACGCAATTATCGGGCACAGACGACTTGTGTATAGTATCGAACCTTGGGCGAGCGCGTGGGGGTGCAAGCCAAGTCTTGGGATACGCGATGCAGATAAAACATGACTTGTCATTAGGTAATTACGAGAGGTATCGAGAGCGATCAAGCAGTGAAGGACTGGGCCTTGATGATAACGACATCCTCGATGGGTCTGTCGCCAGGGCCTGTTCTGACATTTCCAATCTTCTGCACGACATCCATGCCGTCGACGACCTGGCCAAACACAGTGTGCTTGCCGTTCAGATGGGGAGTGGGAGCAAGACAGATGAAGAACTGACTGCCGTTGGTGCCAGGACCGCTGTTGGCCATGGACAGAACGCCGGCACCAGTGTGCTTGAGCGAGCTGTCGAACTCGTCTTCGAACTTGCCGCCCCAGATGGACTCTCCGCCACGGCCGGTGCCTGTGGGGTCGCCGCCCTGGAGCATGAAGCCGGGGATAATGCGGTGGAAGATGACGCCGTTGTACTTGCCTGCGTCGGCGAGGCCTGCGAAGTTCTCACATGTCTGTGTGGCGCCTTGTGTCAGTCTTGTTGAGCAACCTGATCTGGTCAGGGCGACTCACTCTGGGTGTCTTGTCGCTGTACAGGGCGATGGTGATGTTGCCGTAGTTGGTCTCGAGCAGGACTCCGTCGGGTTTGCCCTGGCGAGTGGGCGCGCTACTGCCGGTGGTGGCGGCGGCGGCTGAGGGAGTGGTGCTGCTGGTCTGAGGTGGAGGCGCCGACGATGTCGAGGTGGCCGCCGTGTTCCTGTCTGTCGTCGTGTGCGAAGGAGTCGTGGCTGACGATGACGACGAAGAGTCGTGCTTGTCGTGCTTGAAGATTCTCTTGAGCTTGTCCATTGTGCTTGGTCCGTCTGTTGCGTGTTGTGACTTGGAAGGAGAAATAGAGGACACTATTGAGATGAATGCGATGAATTATCGAAAGGGGAGGCTGAGCAACAAGCAGGAGCTGCTCAGCCATACGTCATAAACTCAACTTGCCTGCATGACGATGCGACAACCAGTTTTTCATGTGCCCGTCTCTCAATTCTGCAGTCCTTCGATAGACTCTGCAACTCTCCCGTCATTGTCATATCGAGCCATGCAGAATAGCAAAATGTTAGGTATGCAACCCGCTCTACGTCTTTTGTCCCTGCTCCATGCTCGCGCTCCGCATTGATGTATTTCCTGGTCGATCTCCCGCACATCTTGGCTGCCCCCTCCGCTCCGCTGTGTCCTCCCCCTGTAGACTTGGCAGAGAACCTTGACAGGGTCATGCGACTACCAAATCAATTCATCGGCTCAAGCTTATCTTGAGTTGGCATTTTTGCCTTTATCCGCCTGCATCTGAAATGAAACGGAAGCTGCATCGAAGCAGCTTGTCTGCACACATGCTAGAATCAATAGTTCATGCTAGGTGACCAGAATCAAATTTTCGCGCCTTGTCGGATGCTTTCAATCCAAGTTGGCTTGATTGCTAGTCGTTGCTCGACACCCCGAATTCTGTGCCAAATTTTGAAAGGCGCCATGGCTTGTTCGAGGATGAAAACTCAAGGCCAAATCTTTCTTTGTGTTGGCAACTGCACACCCGCCGGTAGAGTTGTTTGCTCGCCGTTCTTTGCAGTATTTGGTCACAATGTGACGACAGGAGCCATTGCTCAAAGCACAGTCACGACAAATCTCGGCCCATTTGCCCTGTTTGAATACATCTATGGCGCCATCCGCAAATCATCACACCTCTCAAGTCGATGGTATAGAAAGTATCCATGAGGCTGTATGCGTAACAACGATAATGCGCCGAATGTTCGGTGAGACTCTGCTCTGTACTCACGTTAACGCCGCTATCTACGAGAAAAATCGTCATCATGTTTTGCACTAAGTTGCCGAATTCCGCGCCAGCCGCAGCGATCTTCAACCTAATTCGCGGGGTCACATCGCGTTTGCCTTCCATTTCGTGCATTTTCGTTCAATTGTTTCTGCCGCTCGCACCGCTTCCAGGAAGAGTCGGCACTTGACAGGCAGGGCTCAAAGCAGATTATTCAGCTCATCATGTTTGCATGAGTAGTGCCCTGCCCGCGCTTCTGTTGTTCTTCTCCTTCTCTTCTCCCTCGATTCTTTCAATCACAGCACATCTTTCCACGCCAAGATGGAGCGGATTGAACGCTTGCTCTCACGGCCGACAGCAAAGCCTTACAGATCAAGAGACATTGAAGCATCCGAAGAACCATGGCTCAACGAAGATGGCTTGCTAGACTTCTCTCCCGATGACATGGAGAACCCAAAGAACTGGTCCAAGGCTCGTCGATGGTACATCACTGTGGCTTCCGTCACTCTTGTCGTCAACGCAACATTTGCATCATCAAGTCCATCGGGTACTCTGGATGGAATCGCTAGGGATCTGCACGTCTCAACCGAGGCTGCTGGCCTTGTCATCACTCTTTTCCTGCTGGGTTACTGCGCTGGACCACTGATCTGGGCGCCCTTGTCCGAATTCTACGGCCGCCGATGGATTTTCTACATTACCTTTACAATGTACTTGATCTTCAACTTCCTCTGCGCCTTCACACCCAATTTCGGAGGTCTTCTTGTCGGTCGCTTCTTGACTGGTACCTTTGCCAGTTCCTCCTTGTCCAATGCGCCTGGAGTCCTTGCCGACATCTGGGGCCCCGTCGAGCGTGGCAACGCCATGGCTACCTTTTCCATGATGACATTTGTTGGTCCCGCTCTCGGTCCCGTCATCTCTGGCTTCCTGGAGCTGAAGGAAGATTGGAGATGGAGTTTCTATGTCCTCCTCTGGCTCGCTGGTCTCACCGAAATCTTGATGTTCACCATCCCCGAGACATTGCCGTCGATTGTGCTTCTCAACAAGGCAAGAAGACTTCGAGCGTTAAAGATACCTGGCTACGAGAATATCAAGGCTCCTGTTGAAGTCACTGACAGGACTCTTTCTGGCATGTTCGCTGTCGCCTTGACCCGCCCGTGGAAAATCCTCATCGACCCCATCTCATTTGCAGTCGCTGTCTACCTCGCCGTTGTGTACGCTTTGCTGTACATGCTGTTCACCATCTACCCCATCGTCTTCCAACAGAAACGCGGCTGGAACTCGGGCGTCGGAGAGCTTCCGCTTATTGGTACTGCAATTGGTGCAGTCATTGGTGGTGCCATCATTTTCGCTGTATCGGCACGCGACAGAAAGAAGTTGGCTGCTGGTCACAAAGGTGTACCTGAGGATCGTCTTCCGGTCGCGATGATTGGCGGTATCATGTTCCCCGTTACCATGTTCTGGTTTGCATGGACTGCAAACTTCAACAGCATTCACTGGGCCGTCCCTGCAGTTGCTGGTGTCTTCCTCTCAACCTCTATTCTGCTCATCTTCGTCGCCTATCTCAATTATTTGACCGACACATACCTTATGTATGCAGCGAGTGCGCTGGCAGCCAACACTGTCGCTCGCTCCGCCGCGGGAGCCTCTGCGCCACTTTTCACGCAATACATGTTCAATGCTCTTGGTGTTGGCGGAGGTGGCTCGCTCATTGGTGGCATTGCCTGTTTACTTGCTCCCATTCCGTTCGTCTTCTACAAGTACGGAGGTCCGATCCGCGAGAGGTCAAAGTTCGCGCCTACCCCTAACAAGAAAGATATGCCACCGCCGAGGGATCCAGAGATAGAGGATGAGCCCCTGGAGGACGAGCCAAAAGAGGATATGGTGACGGACCACGAACACAGCAATAGCGAGACTGATGTCTCTCGCGCTCCTTCTCACACTTTTGAAGCGATCAAGCCCGAGAATCCTACGACACCTTGAGTCAGAGATTCATATTGCATTCTTGTATATACCCTAGGATTAAATGAAAGTATTTCCTAAAAGAACACCGCCCGACAATCAATTTCAACCATCATCCTACGTGCTGAGTCTTGTTCCAGAGCAACCACTGTGTCGGTGAGGATTTGTGGGCTTTGCTTGACACGACGCTCGGGATGGTCAAAGCTCGATCACCAAGGCCCCCACTCCATATGAATCTGCAATATAACAATTCGCTACACGACACATTTAACAAATGGCCGTGTTGTTGGGAATCCTTTGAAGATCTTTCGTGCTCTCGAATTCTCGGTCAGGCCCAATCCTTCTTGAATACAGGCCATATGTAAAGGCAACTCCTCACCACATTCCTGGCTTTGGTGTCAAACCTTTGTCGGCATCTTATACCATCATTCCTTGTCATGGATACCATCGTGCCTTCGGCCAACGCGGCCTTTCCCTCGTCGGATGCCATCTTGAAGTCGGTGAGCACTACCGTCTCCGAGATCATCGACAGTGTCGACATCAGCAGTCCGCCCGCCCATGCTCTTGAACTCTCCTACATTGAGCAAGCCAATCCTCGTGGTTACACGCGTCCGATGTTCTTCTTCCCTGCAGTCGACAATGTTGATCCGATGGAAGTGGTGGAGATTTTCCGCAAAGCTTTGGAGCCAACGCTCAAAGCCATCCCATCTCTGGCTTGCGAGATTGTGCCAGTCGAAGATGGAAAGAAACCCCCTGGAAGAGTGGCTCTCAAGCATGGTGATTTTGGTTCCTTGATCGTCAAGGACATTCGTGGTACTGGTTTCTTGTACGAGGAGTTGCGCAAGCAGAAGTTCCCTCAATCACGGCTTGACCCTGATGTACTCTGCGCCCGTGGTGTCTTTCCCATAGAGGGCGAGACACAGCCCGCTTGGGTTCCTCAGCTGAACATTATCGATGAGGGTTTCATCCTTACTCTTCACAACCATCACACTATGTACGACGCCCAGGCCATCAACGAGATTCTCAGAGTATGGTCTCAGAACTGTCGCCACGTTCAAAATGAGTCTGTGCCTGCATGCAGCTCTCTGCCAGTCGAACAGTTTGAAAGATCTGCCCATATCACTGATCGCGCACCAACAGCAGATTCGGGTCGCCCTGAGCTCCACCCTGAGTTCATGGTCCTCCCCTTCACTGTGACTTGGCCCGAGACAGCTTTCAGGAACACGCACAGACAGCGCGTCTACCGCCTATCCCCCAAAGCTCTGGCCGAACTCAAAAATGACTGCACCGAACCCGGCGACTCCTGGATCTCGACCAACGACGCAGCAACAGCTTTGATCTGGCGTTCGATTGTTCGCGCTCAAGCCGATCTCGAGACTTTTCCTGAAGATGCAATGTCCCACCACATCATCAACGTGGATTTGCGTCTTCGTTCCGATCCACCGCTGTCAAAGCATTACCCAGGATGTCCCATGAACTACGCCCGACCAGGCATGAACCTTCGTGAGCTGTGCAACTCTACTTCGCTTGCTCCCCTGGCTCGCGAGACTAGGAAACAAGTCGATGCTCGCACACCGGAGTACACGAAATCGCTCATTACTCTGCTTAACAACATCCCTGGCTATGGCCACTTTGCCTGGACGTCGTTCCCTTCTCTTCTCACCACCGATTGCATGACATCCACATGGTACAAACTCGACATTTTAGATCTTGACTTTGGCGCTGCAGTTGGAAAGATCGAGAGAGTGAGATTCCCAACTGCAGGTCTGTTCAACGGCCTCAGCATGATCTATCCTCAAATCACTAGAGGTGGGCCCGAAGAGATGGGAATGGAAATTGCGATTGGATTGGAGAAGCAGCATTTCGAGAAGTTGGACAAGGATCCTGTTTGGTGCAGGTATGCAGAGTTGACGGATCCGGGGTATGATTGTATGTAGATTTCGTAATCATTAATCTTCAATGTAGCCTTCCCATATGCCAGAAGATGTCATGCATGTGGGTTTGAAATACAAGATACACTCCAGAACATTGTCGACTCTTGGACCATGAAGTTGGTGAATGATTCCAGGTCATTCGACATCCAGCCCTGAACCAATCTCGAAAAGGGTCCGAGATTTTGTCCCTCAATGTCTGTTTCGTCGATTTGATGCAATGAGGGACTCTTGATGAAATTGAGGTTCGTTGACGCAGCTGAACGTCAATCAGGTCGCAGGTTGGACGGGATTCCGCGGTGCGTGTACAAGGTGGTAAAGGACGGCGATATCTTGCACGAAGAAAAACCGGGAGAATGGTCTTGCGGCTCTTGAAGGACTCAGCCTCATAACTAGGACTGTGAACTTCTGGAATTGTTCGAGTGAATGTGCGCGACCGATGGTATGGTCTGTCGAATTACATCGATCATAAAGCATAGTCATTTGCCTTGGGACAGTCTTGGCCATAGATGTTGATTCCATCTCTCAAAGCATCGGAAAACTCAGTGTTATTGATTTGGTCCAGGTACGTGCTGTCGGAGGATGTGGCGGAGTAGGGATCTCGCTCGGAGTCATCAGATGCTGCAACAGATGGTAGATCGTCCTGGCTTGCTTGTTCAAAAGGACGATCGAGGTGCCTTGGCAGTATGGATCCTATTTTCCACTTGGCAGCGAGTCGTTGGATCTCGACTATACTTCGTGCGGCGGCATTTCCCCATGTCTGACCCAGGCTCTCGAGCGCTTTGAGGCAGACGCGTACTCCGGTCACCGCCCTCTGCCTTACCCTACTGTCATCACATGTCGCATTGAGCAAATGCGCCAAGGCAACGGTCAAGACGTGATGTATGACAAAGTAAGGCAACTTTGAACATTTGGGAGACGCAATGAGCATTTTGACTATTCTGCTCGAGGCATCAGCAGCCGTTGTGGTTGTTCGTAGGGCAAAGCATCTGGTCTGCCAATCATTATCAGCGTGCAAAAATGGGCGATGGACGAGGATCAATGACACGTGGTAAGCCAGATGTAACACTTTCTGAGCCGATGTGCTATCCTGTAAGCTCGGCAATGCAGACTCTGCCATGTATTTTCGGAACCCGAGCAAAGCATCGCGGGCATTGATCAAAAGACGATGTTTGCTTGTAGTATCAAGCCTCCCGAATTCGAAGGAGTAGATCTGGTCCATGTGTTGATCGGTGATATACCATAGCCGACACTGCAGACTGTAGATGAGCTGATCCATGGGCATATGGTGAGCCTGTTCGAATGTTGCGTCGATAAAAGGTACGTTGACTCGCCCCCAAGGCAATGCACAGTTACGACCGAGCAGGGACGTGAGAATTCTGTCATGTAAGAACGCTGACCAGAACGCCCTAACACGAGTTGATTGTGTTCGTTCGTCGATGGTTTTTCTCGGTTTGAGTTCTGGTAACGACGTGGCGTGTATCCCAAGATGAACGACCATTGACATAGCCATATGATTGAACATATAGCCCATGCTATCGTTACCAAGACCTGTGTTCATCCACGACAAGATAGATAGGGCGCGCAAGACCGTGATTGACGGGTGATCTCTGCAACACGTAACTGCAATGTTCTCCGCAAATGCTGCGATGGTCCGACCACTATTGCGGGCGTGAGGATCGGAGGTAAACAATGCCCCTGCTGATATGACAGAAGCATACAAGAGTTGCGAAGGAAGGGGCATGCTGGGCTCGATTGTCACTTGTGAGAGACCGTCTGCGTCTAGGAATTGATAGAACGGATTTACGTGTTTCATGAACAAGGCAAGCATTTCTCTCAGATGCTGACTCATGAGTGTGTAAGTGACATAGACGTCAGCGATTTCTTGCTTGACGTTATGTTGGATTTGTGGCGGCGCCTTCGTGGCCGAGAAACAAAAGTTTCCGGAGGGTCCTTTGAAATATGTTTCTCCAGAATCCAATACGTCGAGAGTCCAAAGCATATGAGACAAGTCTTCAAGCGCATCCGGCAGTCGTTTCAGGTTGTCTGTAACCGCCAGCGCATGATCCGGCGTGATAGACTCCTGCTCTCTTTGACTGTCCTCGAGCTCTTTGTGGATCGTATTCATGAGCTCTTGAGTTGTGGCCGTCCCATCGATCCTTGTCATTGTTGTGACTGGTGCCGGTCCAGCGGTAGCAGCCTTGACGCCTTCTAGTTGATCGATGTATCGCATCAGTCCAGCAACTTGATCCTCGAGATCCTGCACACGTTGACCACCATATTGGCGGCGTTTGGTTGACGATCTTTTGTCTTCGCTGTAGGTACATTGTTTCTCACAATCCAAGCATGCTGTACATATGGGAAGGGTGCCGTCACACTGTCGACCTCGGATTGATTAGTAGTGCACGATGGGGTCTAGAGCAGTTGTTGATATCACATACTTTGCGTTTTCTGCTTCGGCATGCGTCGCATGCAATTGAGACATTCTTTCTTCTCGCTGCTATGTCCATAAGATCGCATAGCAAGTTCCTCATCTGCATAACAGAAGTCATTGCTCAACCTATGAGCTGCGCTCTGTCGATGATGGGTTCTTTGGTCTATGCGTGGTTAGCGGGCATATATACGGGGGATTAAAGTTATATAGCGCCGGCACAGGAGCGAGGATGTCACGGTCTCACAACGTCTGATACGAAGCTGCCAAGATCATGTCTCGCCGGTAGGTACTGCCGATACTGCCGGTGCTGCCATGCTTGGTGTCGTGGCGTCCGATCGACTCTAATCTTGTATAGTCCCTACCTTACTTATGCGTGTAGATCCTGCCGCTATGAGCTGCCTTCTCTGCCCCCCGGACTAGGTCTTGAGTGGAGATACCCACCATAAGCAACCGGCGATATCTAGGTAAACAACGTGTCACATGCTTACGTCAAACCTTGAAATACAGTGTTGCGTTGGAAAACGATCGCTTTCCGTTGATCGCTCGTCTTTTCATCATTCCCTGTCCCTTGCGGTAGCACTCTGAGAGACTATCATAGAGACTGGCAACATCGATGACTGGCTTGTCAGTAAGCACGGCATCAAGAGGAAAGTTTGCTTCAACGATACTCTCTTCAGGTAATTGAAAATGGTTTGAGAGCTGTTGTCTATCTGAACATTGAATCCCTGAGCTACAACTGCGTTTGTCATTAAGCTTCATCCTGTCCAGGGTACTTCAAGTAGGACAGCTGCTGTATGCGATAGCAAGATCGATGACTCGATCGTTGCCAGGTGGAAATAACCTGCGATCTCTGGAGCTTCTCGTTAGTGCACGAAAACATGGTGTGCTGAGCTGGCGGTTCTACCAGCTCGCGACGTTGATCAGACTTTGTGTCCATCGTTCAGAGGTTGAGCAACTGGCCATGCTGCAACGTGAACCACTCGCGTCGCAAAATTGTGTGAACCTTCAATACGGGCCGTGCATGCTCCGAGCAAGCAAGCCGTCTGTCATTCCCCAAAGAAGTTAAAGCCACGTTCGTAAGACTATTTTGAAAGCTGGTATAAAAACCTTCTCTCCACTCAGTTCGGCACGAGCTTCCTATCAAGCCTTGCATTGACTCGCAGATCTTCTTGACAGAGGCTTCTAGATTGAGCCAACCTGGCTCTGCCTGGGTGACTGCTACCCTGGCAGCTGTCGATTCAGAGCCTTCCATCGGTTTTGTGCGGGACACCATTTGACACGTCCGAGGTTCAAGCGCTAGCAAGCACAGTAGAGTGAATTCTATGCGCCGGACGCAAAAGCTGGGATAGGACTAGGATGTTCGAGAGGAATGTGAGCTGGCTTCACATTGATCCCAAATCAGGAAATGCAAGACAAGAACCAAACGTTAAAGGATTTCTCTGATTAGAGTTTAAGAAGGTCTTCACGGGGTGATTTCACAAGACCAGCGGAATCACAAACTCCGCCCACGTCAGATACCGCCTCTAACCCAAAGTAATACATACGAGCCCAATCAAAGACTGTATTTTCAACAACGAGATACTGAACGACGTCGGGATCTGACGGAGCATCAAGATCTTCCCCCACATCGGGACCGGTGGCGATCGGGAAGTGGAAACTCGGATGCGGTATGAGCCCTACACGTGCCCTGGACACAACAGCATGACCAGCGGCTCATAAGGCTGCCAAAAGGTTTTCAAGCTTTCTAGCTACCACGCTTAAACTCTGTTTTGCTGGTTACCGCTTGATCCGACAGAGTTACGCCCTTCGAATGACAACCTGGGCGCCGGTAGAAATCTGATCGCCGTGCCATGAATTGCATGTTGTGTGTTGCAGCAATCAGACAGGATTATGATTATGGAGCTCGCTACCAAAGTCTGTTCCAAGAATCGCTCATAATGAGCTGATCCTTCATCCACTGTCGATCACAAAATTATCGAGGTCGAATTTACTCATATTGGAGATCAAATTAGTAGTCAAAGATGTCTCAGTTCTATAAATAGCACACTGATTGAAATTGTCCATCGAATTGAACAAGTTGCATCGATCATGCCTCACGTTGAAACGTTTGGCGTCGCTGAGGCTTTCGAAGCCTGGATCCGGCATCTAATCATAGGCAGGGTCCGTCCACAGACCGGAGGATGTCTCCCGCATTGCGTGATCAGGACAAGACATTCGAGCCCTAGTGCCGAGTTCCTGATTCCTCGGAGGCTTTTTAAACTCTGCATCCACAGCCCATTAAGAACCATCTGCTAGATCTTTTGCCTCTTTTGGATCGTCTATTCCTTCCTTCGAACTTCTGATCGATGACTCCGTTTACATTCATTGAAAAGGGCCGCAAGGATTCAAAGAGACTTCGAGACGGACCAGTGAGCGTTGCATTCGAGTTTTTGTTGAGCTGTGTTAGCATACTCAATCTCGAGACGTTCATCTTGCTAGCAACAACAATAACACCATTCAATCGATGCTACACTTTGGAATCGGACTTCGATGGTGTGCCTTCACTCGAGACTATTGGTCTGGACCGCGGGATGAACTGCGCTCCTTACTATGGTTTCGCGATGTTGCACTTACAGTGTGATGAGTCGTGTATTTGACCCTATTCTGGAATCGTGGTCAAAGGTATGAGGCTGTGAGCAACGCATCCGTCCAATTGAGGTTGGTCAATATGTCACTAGCTAGCAATGAGTGACCAAACCAGCTCTACGTCTTCAACGTTCTTGCAGTCGTGTATGTTGCCACACTGAGCAGTAATGATTACGTTCGCCACTGGGTTGCAAAGACACGAATTTGCAATCAGAAGTCAATGGCACTTGACGAGAAGGAATCTTGACATTTCATGGCTCTAACCTCACGTTCTTTCGCAGGGCTCACCTAACAGCTCCATCCTCGCTTCTTAATGCCAGCCTGCATCTTCTATCTCGTTCTTCGCGGCCTGGGCACCGTCGAAGACGATATGCTAATTTGAATCGAGACCAAGGAGTGGTTGCTCCACGAGTTTCATCAACCCCTTTAGAACGAGTCTTGAACTTTTGATCAGAGTGGACCCGATGAGCACGACAGAGAATTACTGGTCAGATTTGATTACATAGCGTGAGACAATAATGAGCTCCATGATGAGTATTGCATTGTCGCTAAAGACATCACTCGACGCATGGGCAATGGGATGGCAGATTGAGCTCTGGACGCCAACATCGCTGAAGTGAACACTTTCAAAGAGTCAAAGGACTTCCAAGTCAACTGCTCATAGAGTCTACCAAGGGCATCCGTCATTTGTCATGTTGGCCGAGTTCTTTGACATTTCGCCAACAAGATCCAATTCAGGCACGAGCCGGACGACCCGGACTGTGACAACATCAACGCTGCTTGTGAAACAATCTGTCGGACTGTCGATGACCTCGCCTCCGAACACAAAACACCATGGATCGACTCGAGTGTTCCTCTCATCTCCAAGGGACGGTACATTGCTATATAGAGTGGTGTTCTCGTGCTGCGGTTTCTCACAGGCTCTGCCGTAGGTTCTACTTCTTTGCATTCGTCTTTCACGATACAGACATTCCTGCGAAGTGCCCCTTCATGTCAGGCTCTGGAAGAACACCAATGAATGGATTGAATCAATCATTCACAAGTATTCCTTATAAGCAACATACATATAAGCCTATTGGCGTGCGTTTCACAGCCCGGTGCAAGTGTGCTGAGTTGACAAGTGCTGATTATGGTTGTACGTAGACATCGCTATTTTCGTCAAGGTAAATGAGTTTCACAAGCGCAGAAACGTAGCATGGCGGGCGTCCTCTGTCGAGGCTTTCTTCGGTGCTCAAAGAAGAACCATAGTACAACTTTCAGATTTCTTTAGTAGCCTCTATGGTATCTTCAGAGCAGAACAACATTGCTTGCACTTTGAGTTGCCCATCAGATCACGTGCTTTGTTCATGTGTCTATGTCTGTTCATCACGGCGCTTATCGAAGCAGCTCAAAGATGTGGTGCAGAACCGCTGCCCTCTCGCTATTCATGAATCGATAACCAATCAAGACTTGCAGCACCATAATTTGATAACTCGCGATAGAGCGGTACCATGTCTGTCCAATCGTACCCGCAGTGACGATGCCTTGGTAAGCGGCTGCTAACAGGTAAGATAAGAACCTCATAAATCTGATGCATTGTTGCAGATGCATCAATCTGCAGCCGATTAGCGTTGCTGCAAGCGAAGAAACAATTGAGTTCGACTCTAAGATGCATGATAAAGAACAAGGCGTAGCACGAGAACCACATCAATGGCTGCATGAATATTGCTCAGTACGTACATGTCATGTCAGCCTTACCAAGTCTCCGGCTTCTAGTCCGAAATTCTCAATGATGCAAAAGACATTTACAACAATCTAGAAGCTTTCAAAGACAAGGTATTACTCTAAGAATCAAGCGTTCGGATGTCAAATTCTAAACAGCGTCTGGGACTTGATCCACGGCTGTCTACATGCAAAGCTGTGCCTTATCGCACTAACAGCGTGATGTGCGGCAGGCAGCATGAATGTCAAGCCACAATTTCCAAATATAGCTGGCTTCGATCGACTTGTCCGATCAATGTGCAGCTGAGCGACGGCGATAAGAAACTTGAAAAGATTCGTGCATGCGATGCCCTAAGATAAAAGGCGATGGCTGTGCAGACCACAATCTTCACATAACTGCGATCTCCACTTCGTGTCATGTTATACAATTTCCTGGACTGCAAGGAAAAAGTAATTCCTGCTCCTTGACTATGAAATACAGATACCCCATATGGCTTCGAGGCGCTCCATTGGGCAAATCGAAAATGCAATATTGCAACTTCAATTTATCCAAGTAGGTTGAGAAACATGCAACAAGAATCGCGATGCTGAGGCTCACAACTGGCTCTGTGCCACCAGGCGGACCAAGAGAATCTCGACAGCGATAACAATTCTGGTTGTATTTACTTTGTCACCCATGGTCACTTGGTTTGGTCTCGTCTCATCACCTTTCACGCCAATACCCGTCTCTTGTACAGATACGAAAGGATTTGGACTTCCGGAACAAAACAGCAGTGGTGGCATACAGACGCTATTCACCATCGATCGGACGTTCGAGTCGTATAGGTTCTCGACCGTCAAGTTCATCGACGTGGTTTGGGACTTGTGTGTCGCTCGCGGTTTCCAATTCTTCGCCGGCTGGGTCAGCTATGCCGCTGTCACCGAAGCCGTAGTACACGCAATGGAGTCAGGTCCTGTGCCTTATAACATATTCATAGGTCTAGCGCTGAATGGATCAAATGCATCGGCAATATGCTCGACAGTGACGAACCTATACCGCTGTCGGCCGATACGAATCAAAATTCTGCTCGGCTGTATCATCATGTCAATTGTTTATGTTGTCATGTTGCCGACCCTTTTATCCGCAGCAACGGGCTACGTGGCTTCCACAGCCACATTTTTTACATTACCCGAAACAGACCAGCTTGTGCCTCTTTCCGCTGTGTCGCCTTCCGACTACAAATTCAGCGTAGGGAACGGCAGCGAGGAGTATTGTTTAGGAGTTGATGCTCACGACGACAAGGCGTGGTTGTTCCGCTCCCGATCTCTCAATCAGATGTTGTGCTGTGAGTGGTTTCTCTATGTGCTTGCAGCAGTACTAAGATCTGGCTTAGGCAAGCCGCTCAACTGTTCGCGCTTCTTCAATGAGAAGCTGATGAGCGACAAAAGTTGGGATCAGTTCTGTTCTACGAGAGATTACTATGAAGTAACGTGGAAAGGATCTCAATGTAAGCATTGTGTAGTGTGAAGCCCCGAAGACTTTTCTGACTTGGGTTTTCAAAGGTGCCTTCGAGAGTGATGGTACATTTAGCTGGACAGACGCAAACGATACATCCAGAAAGTCGAGCTGTAAGCAAGAGCCTAAGGATCTGATTGCACAATACTGAACGAGGAAGCAGGCAACACACCATTGAAGGTCACCATTAACGGCGTCACGTTTGACGGCTGGAGCGCAGTCTACAACGAGGACGTCAGCCTTGACTGCTACAACGGCAAGGTCTACGACGAAAGCCGGCTTTAAGAAACAGGGCAATGCCTGCCAGCCTCAGGGAACGCGGGACACGCCCGCTACGAATGGGGCTTTTCGACAGTCCCAATGTCGCTTGTCTTGATCTCGCACTGCGTCTGGTCACTGTTCATGCTGGGCCTGTGGTTAGACGCCGAGCTCAACGGTACCTTGCAGCGAGAGCGCGGCTTCAAGTTATCCCAAGTCCGCGCCGCATTGGTTGTTGCCGAGGCGGCCACAAGAACGACTGGCCGCTCTCTGGTCGACTTGATTTGCTTTACGCCAAAAGAGATTAGGCAAAGACTAGGTCGTAAGGATGCGACAATCCCGTTCGAGGTGCTGCGTCAAGAACCAAATATCTTCCTGGCAAAGCTCTCGCCTAACCCCGATGATGCGGTATCTGCGTCAAGTCTACTTCAAGTACAGACAGCTCTGCAGCACTCGGATAGCAGTTGTGACGAAGAAAATGCAGATGAGGTTAGAGGATCTGCGGATCTCACCGAGGGGAGCGTGCTATCGAATATACACAGCTAGCAGCTGGAAACAATGATCAAGGGTCAGCCCTGCCCAAGCCTTGTTCCTGATATGACTGTCTGTATGGTGATGAAAAAAGGTCTACCTCGGCACAGGGAATCTTTCGTTTTCCAATGGTCGAATGACGATATCTACTTGCCTTACACTCCCAGGAATTGTTTGAATAGACTTGTGTATCGGAGCGATGTGGCTATCAGTCTGGAGCTGAATGATTCAATTCGTTGCTTCCACTATAGGGGCGGCAGCGGAGACTTTTTCTCCAAATCAGGACTGCTTGGGCAATGTTTTTGCTCATTCGCAGAGACGATGGCCTGATCCCAACATGGAGACTTGGATATGAGATTGGCCGATCGACAAGAGAATATTATTTGGATGGAGTAATCGAACGAGGTTCGACAATGAAGATCTCACGGGATGGAGGAATGTAAAGCAGACCATTTGTATTGCACAATGTGATGGCAGCTTGATTGTAGACATCGAATCGCATGTTCGCGCTTCAGCCGACAGGCTTGCGCATCTCTCTTCTACCGACGGTGAGATTGACACCCGCATCGCATGTTGATCAAGGAAAGACGGAGGACTTTGACATGAGCACAGGACATAAGTCACAGCCCGGGGTGCCGAGTTCCCCCGTGTTGCCGATTCTGCCAATATTTATGGCCACCTCGGAGGAATAAACGCTTACCTCTTCGTACCTTGCATCGTGGATCCGATTCTCTGCATCTGTGCAACAACCCAACAAGCCATGGTGGCTCGAACATCCGAAGTATGAAGGTCATTATGGCCTATTGTACCAATTAGTCGGCCGCTAGCAAATCCGAAAGCGGGTTTTGCGTGCTCAAACATCGTCGGCGAGATACGCAACGCTCTTCCCATCAATGTTTCTCCAAGTAATGCATCTCGCATGAGCTCAAGCACGAGTCGAAAAGCAGGGACAACACGGTCTGTGTTTCTTGCAACCCTTCTCGCAGGGTCATTTTGCATGGGCAAAGCAGGTGAAGCACATTGCTTCTCATCTTAGATTCCCCATGATGCACATGCTTACCTCAATACTCCAAGTCCTGCTAGCAAGCACGTCTGTAGCTTACTTTGATTTTTGGGACTACGTTCCATTCTCGAATAAGCGTGGACCCTGAATCGACCCTGAGAAATGTTTTGATGGTTTCTGGAGCTTATTCGGCGCTATCATGCGTTCGAGCTTCGTGCCCCCGTTCCTGCAAAGCGCTGAAGCTTGTTTCTATTCACCCGCCGCCGCATGTCGGATGATTGATGCTCCATCACCTCAGACGATGGATGAGCTAGCCATCCTTGCTCTTCAGGAGAGATCGTTGTGGAAGACAGACGTAGGCTATTTCTATTGCAAGTTCCCTCATGATATATCACATCAAAGCAAGTTCATCCACAACAATCGCGTTCAGACTCAGAAGCAACGATGACTCAACATCTCCAAAATCAAGCAGCTTGGCTGAATGAGTCAAAAGCGACTTTGGTGGTTGGTCCTGCTCCTCACACACCTCCTGGTCCTGGTCAACTGGTCGTTCGCAACGCAGCCATCGGCATCAACCCAATCGACTGGCTCAAGCAATATTTGGGTGAAAACATCCTCCCCCACATTCGATATCCCACTATTTTCGGCGAGGACATTGCTGGTACTGTCGTCGCTGTTGGTGAGGGCATCACCCGTTTCAAGGTTGGTGATCGTGTCCTTGCCGTCGCCGGTCTTATTCCTTCGAACAATACTCCTGAAGGTGCCTTCCAACACTATACCGTCGCCCGTGAATGGCTGACTGCCCCTCTGCCGCCAAATGTTAGCTTCGAACAGGGCTGTGTCCTACCACTCGCCCTGATCGTTGCTAGTCTTGGTCTTTTCGCAAGGGACTACATGGGTCTCGAGCTGCCCACTGTTCCAGCCCGCCTGAAAGATCCATTCAGACGCCGAGTCGTGATCGTAGCAGGTGGTGCATCTGCTGTCGGTGGAACAGCCGTTCAACTTGCTGCTCAGGCCGGTTACGAAGTCGTTTCTACCTCTTCCCCGAAGAATTTCGATCTCGTCAAGAGTCTCGGCGCCTCGCATGTCATCGATTATCACGACTCGGATGTGGCAGACCAGCTTCTCGATGCTGTTCGTGGCAGCGAACTCGTTGGTGCTCTCTCACTGGGTGACGGCACTGCAGATTACCTGGCTACCGTTCTGAACAGCCACCAGGGCCCTGTCAACAAGTTCGTTGCACGTGCTGAGGGCAAGCATAACGTTCCCGAGGATGGCGAGGTTAAGGTCAAGTTCATCTTGATCTCACCTCCAGTCATCGGCCCAGAAACTCCTCTGAGACCTATCTTCGAGGACTACCTGCCCAAGGCCCTGGTAGGGCAATTCATCCCAAGACCAACACCCGAAGTTGTGGGTAAAGGTCTTGATCAAATCCAGGGTGCATTGGAGACTCTTCGCAAAGGTGTTTCAGCCAAGAAGATCGTTGTTCAGTTGTAGTCAGTCGTACGGAGATTACATATACGTGGGATCGTCAGCAAGATTAATCATAATTGTGAACATAATCTGATTGTGTCTGTGTCTCAGAAAGGAAAGACTGAGGGATAGAATGATGGGTCACGTTCAAGTTACGACATCTGACCATGTGGTCAAAAGTCATTGTACTGTGATCATCCCGTGCCAGGTAGCTGTCGCATCACTATACTACTGACCCGTTCTCTTTCGGCACAAACCCATCAATCTTCAATACTGCTGTCGGATAAACGAAGATGTCTCTTAAGATCGAAAGACTGGTTGACGAAGACCGCCGTCCCGAACCGTTTGCAATCGAAACCTCGCGTCTGATCCTTCTGCCTTCTTATCTTGCTATTGAAAATCCTGCCTATCGTCATTTGTACTCATCGTTACACGGCATGGCTAAGTTTACAACAATGGCTTTCGGTCCTGACTGGGGGATCAGACATTGGGATAACAAAGCCATCTCTTCCATCATCCAACGTGAAATCGACGCATCTTGGCGCGTCCGAGGAATCGGGGATTTTGCTGTTAGTTTGCGACACAACATTCCCGTCCCTTCTAGCGAGAAGACAGTCACAAGCCAAGACTTGAAGGTTCTGGAGATGTGCAAGGCACAGGAACTAGAAGATGTAGAGTGGATAGGCTACGTAGGCGTCCGCGATGCAACAACTACGTCTATGCCCAGGGCAGAAACTCATCATCCTACGTTACGGCCATGGATTCAGATGGTCGAGCTGCGATACGGGTTCCATCCGGATGTTTGGGGCAAAGGGTATGGTAGTGAAGCTGCAGAAGCAGTGATGTGGTGGTGCGAGAAGCATATCGGAGCGCAAAGGTTCGTCGCAGAGACAGAGATTGCGAATGTGGGGAGCGGCAGGATATTGAGAAAATCTGGGTTTGAGGAGATATGTGAGGACAAGGAAGTGATATGGGGTCTGAGAGGAAAGAAGGAGTGGGAGCGGTGGGCAGCTGGCATAAGTCGTCCAGAACGTGGTCCTATCATTCAGCCGGATTCTCAACCGGACCCATAGACGTGAGTCCGTTGGTAATTATTTTCGTCACTATCTGAAGCATCATACAACGTGACAGTGTAAAGAATGCATTCGGCCTTGGTGAGAGACTGCAGAGGGATCACAATGAATTTGGGCTGCTTAGCGGCCTTGAGAAGCGGCAGAGTTCCCTGGAAGAGTCGAACCGGACCATTGACGTTCACATCGACGTGCTGGGTCAACTCGCTGGTCTTCATCTTCGCTCTGTTAGTTAACAGCAATCTCCTGGAATTAGTTGGACGAACCTTTCCGTCATCGCACTCAATTATCCATTCCTTCTAAGTAAGCAAAACTCAAGGACTCACGATTGGCCTGCGCAATCTTCTCATATCGATAACAGACCACTGCTTCATATAGCCGTCCACAGTGGACATGAAAGCATCGTTGATGTCCTACTTAACGAGGGCGAAGACATCAACGAGCAAAATGCCAACGGCAGTCCAGCACTGAACGTCGCCGTGTTGGAGCGTCGAGATGCCAATTTACAGATGCTACTTGAGAAAGAGGCGCGACTCGACATTGCGGATGTCATGGGTCAAACTCCTGCACATTCAGCAATCTATACCAGTTTTGGTTTGGAACTAAGGCTTCTTTTGAAGCACAGGACCAAGAAGCTCTGAGCATGAGGCATATTAGACATAGAAGGGGTCATAATGATAGGCGGTCACATGATAGGATAACGATGGATACGACGGTTGTGACAACATATGGGCTCTGTCTCACCATGTTGCGATCTGCAGTAGCTGCCGATCATTCGTTTTAAACATCTTTGTATGCGCACAGCGAATGGTCTGTGACTGGATTCTAAAGACTCGTCAGTACTGCCAAGAAGTACGACTTCCTTCATGCTGAGGAGCCACATCAATACCGACCCGAATGAAGTCAGTTCTGGACAGGATGGTGCTCAAACTAGCATGAACTGTCTGGGTTACCCCAAGCAGTGAAAAATTCTATCACATGTTCCTGATGTGCTTGATGTACATTCAGTCGTCATTGATCGGATCAAGCAGTCACGTTCAAGTCAGGCTAGTAGATTACCAACAACAAAAAAAACAATGGTGGTACCGACCATCGCCGAACACCTAGCATCACTTGTGAATCTGGTTCAATCCTTCGCAAGCTGTTTCTAGACTTGGTCTAGAAATAAACTTTCCACCGGAACTTTATAGTAGGTCATTCTCGGTTATGTACCCCAAAATGGTATCGAGGCCTAACATGAGGTGAGGATAAATCTAACCTCGGTACAGGCACACGGTAATTCACATTCGCTAAGCACAATTTCAATTGGCAGCCATAAAGGCATTCTATCCACGTAGCCATGTACAGAGCATATCATCCTGATTTATGGAGCACTACGCGTACCCTTGAACCATTGGGCTCATCAAGATGGTCATGGAGTTAAGGTTGACTCGATGACTGAATGTCTCACGGGAATAGGAGACTTCTCAGGTGCGTGCCATCTCTTTGAATGTAAGGCGACGAGACCGAGAAACCATGAACTGATTCGAAAGAAGGTAGCGACTTGGTATGGAAGAGAATAGGGAGAGCATCCGATGATCCGATAGATCCGGCGAGATGACGCACGAAACATACCATCCGAGTACCACGTCCTTTTGTCGCCCATTGTTATGTCACCCATGGGTCGGACTTCATGCTTAGCAGTGGTATGCAGCAAGACTCAGGTTCAAGCCGAATTTACCCGAAGGTCAAGCTACACTTTCATGCGTCTCGACTTGAATAAGATTTTCGCAAGAGTCTTTGAGCTTCACCTTCCTATCTCGAGCACAGCACTGGTCGCGATTGATAGCCTTCTGTCAAAAATATATGCCATGGAGCTTCCAGAAAAGCTTAGTGGTTGATCGAAGGCATCGGTCCTCGCTCGTTCGGCGACAAGAACTTCCGAGAGCACGAGAATCTGTCCAGGAACTCCGGCAACAGATTCCCTGGTTGTTGCGATTCACGTCAATGGATCCGAGATAAGCTTTTGGTTCCTGCATCAACCGTGGTAGGGCTGGACATTAAGCATTCAGGAGTCGGGATATGCTTTGGATGAGTGAAGTGATAACCCCCTGGGTCTGTTATTCCATTGGACTTCCACAGATGCCTGTTTCTACCGCGGGAGATGCCTAGCCTGTCTGTTTTTGATACACTCAGTTAAGGGAGACTGTAGATTACTCGACTTGATCCTACTACAATGTTCAACCAATGCTGAGTATCAACGTAGCAATCGTCCAGCCACCGTAATGGGGTACCACGCTTCGAGAACGCAACATGTTCAATCGCAAGACCATACAACATTGAACACATGTGAGACACTTAGTATAGCGAGCGAGATGTGGGGATGGGACGGCCATCGATCCGCGGGTGCCGATCGTGGACGCGCAATGGAGTGAAGCCTCACGTCCGGTTCCTCCAGGTTCCGGGGTTGGCTTGTCTCAGCCTTACCAAAGCTTGATCTCTATAACCTCTAGCAACAACACTATGATTTGAAAAGTGCCCAAAGCCGAGGCATACTCAAGGCAGCTTTTCGTCGGTCGCAGGATCAGACCAATCGAAATATCGCGATGACTAGTCTCTTCAAGCATTGAATAGCGAAATCTTCTCGGCTTTCCTTACCTTTGTCTTCTTTAAAGTTGGCATGCAGATGCGACAGTGGTAGACACGTGCTGGACCGTGAGCGAGCGTTGTTTGTTCCAAGGAAACATATAAGTATAGACCAGATCGCATCATGAAATCGTTGCCTTACTACCGCTCATCCTCCGCTTGCAAACACTAACGCACTCTGAACCCCGTTCAAAATTCAGCCATGAGATCTACCCTTGCAGCTTTGGCCTTGGTTGCCTCTATTGTGAATGCTCAGTCTGTCGACCTGGCCGGGCTTGCCGCAATTCCAACTGGAGTCTTCAACATTCCGGTTGTCTATGCCGATGCCGATGGATCTGTAGTTACTGCTACGACTCTGGCAGCTTCCGCCACTGCGTCTTCTGACCCCGATGCTACCAACCTTGTGAACTCTGCAGCTCGCGCTTCTGTTACTCCCACAAGCGTTAGCAAGCGTGAGACTCATCACAAGCGTGATGGCACCTGTGCTGTCCAGCCTCAGGGCATCAGCTACGACTCATTCCCTGACACACCTCTTGCTTTCGCCATCGACCCCTACTACGCTGTAGCAGCCGAGACTGCTGTCGCCCCTGCCGGATACACTACAGTTTTCACCAATCTGAACGCTTCCAACTCGGCGAACAAGTATATGGGCTACTCACTTTTGCCCTTCTACGACGTGAAGACTTGTGCCAGTCACTGTACTTCTGCTGCCGGATGTGAATCGTTCAACATCTACTTTGAGCGCGATCCTTCTGTGAGTATTTCTCGGCCACTAGAAATGTATACATACTAACATGTTACTCTAGCTTGACCCTAATGCAATTGAATGCCCTAACCCCCCTTCTTACGTCAATGTCAAATGCGTTCTATGGGGTTCTGTTGTTGGCGTCATTAACGCCAACAACTACGGACAATGGCGTGATAGTTTCCAGGTCTTGATTGCAGGCAGCAATGGCTACGTCAACTCTTCGATCGTGGCTAGGTAGAGATGGCGTCGAGTGACTCACAGCCCAGTGTCAGGCTTTTGAGCGTTGGAGTTGCGTTGTGTGGAAGTGCTTGAATGATCCAGTAAATGCTGACTAAAGAAGGTCTATGTGTTATGAAGCGTGCTTACGCAAGTCATGTTTGTAATTTGGTTGCTTCTTACATCCTTGCGTTTATAGAATATGTATCACATGGTCTTCGAGTTTCGATGTACATAGAGTCACTAGTCCAAGACTCCTCCTCTCTCTCGAATCAACGCAAAGCGCCAAAACAACCGAACAGAGCAAGAGCAACTGTTGTAGTTTCAATGATCACCGATTTACGAGCATCACTAGCGTAAAACTTGTTATGCTTGTCACATGCCTTGTTAGGTGCATCAGCCGCGCTGCTGACATTTGCTGGATTGCAACTGAGATCCTTGGCCGTAGCCTCGTCAGATAAAACCTTCGACATCGTCCCACTAATATGATCGTTGTTGTTCCTGGCATCAGGTGTACAAGCTTGAATAGCAACTTCTCCGGCAGGCAAGTGAGCACTACCAGCAGGGCAACCACTGAAGATCCCATTCACACAAAGAAAGTCAGGCCTAAAGTGGACATATCCCGCAGTGCCGTGCTCAAAGGTCTGTTTCACAGTTGAGATATTGTCGGATACAGACTTTTCAAAGCTGATGTTTGAGGCAGAGGCGATGAGGGTGAAGAGGTTGTTATTGACGCTGTCGTCTGGAGATGAGTTGTTAAGCAATCGATTTGCAGTTATGTAACCGCCAGCTAAGATTGTGCAATTCTGTTTCCCCTTGCAGACGACACCGGAGCTGATGATATAGAGCGTAGGTCCAGGAAGAGTGTATGGTTCTCCTTCCAGAGTGAAGTTGTTACAGGTCGCGCGGACCAACGCCGAAGCGGACATTAACAGGAACAGAAGAGTAAGAAGCGGGATTGAGGTAATCATGTTGAACTGCAACTCTTTAGCAGTGGAGCAGATGCTGGGGTTGGAAAAGAGTAAATCAGGTAAAGCAAGATTGAGAAGGGATCTGGCGATGATATGTTTGGAAGCTAAAAATGAAATCCTGCACAAGCAAGAAAGATCAGCCCTGTGATCTTTACCGGATAGGTGACTTGACTAGAAGCCACTGACCCAAGCTTTGTCTATACTGGCCATACCAGGGGCTTTGGCAGTCTTTACTCCAGATTTACAGTTGCTCTAAAGTCATTGTAATTTAGTTTGCACGATTATAAAACAGCCAATGCCCACCAAGAAGTCGGAGGACTTTCGACTGGAGACATAGAGTCCATATTATCTCTTTTCATGATGCGTTAAGAGGAATTCCAGGTAACAAATTGTAGCTCAAGAACGACGTCAGAAGAACAACATGTATAGTCAAGTGTACGCTGACCCAAATCACGCCATCCTGCCAAGCGACTAACGGCTCTACGAAGGATCGCCAAGGCACTCTAGCGTATCCACGATACAAGTAGTAAGATCACTTGAGCCACGAGATCTCTCCGCGAACATACTCATCACTCATGAGAATTTTCTGTCATGTCCTGCAACGATGGAGAAGCCCAACGCAATGGACCTTGGTCGCTACCAGCTCTGGCGATCTCGTAGAACCTTCGCAAGTCCTGCGCACCCTCGACTTCCAAATCCTCGGCTTGATCCACGAGCTCAGACATACGATATCGAGCATCAGTAAAGTGGAATGCGGTGTATCCAAGCATGAAGTTGTCAACCACTCTTTTCGTCTTCGGGTCGACGTTTGGCAGCATTTCAACCAGTGCATTATTGGACAAGGTGATCTTGTCCAGAATCCTAGACAACGACTTCTGCATAGTGATTCCGGCGCAATGAGCATAGTTTGAGATGAAATTGGCTTGCTCTTGCTTGTCTGTGCCAAAGTATTCCTTGTAAAAGGACAAGAGATCGTTGACATAGAGTTCCCATTGCTCGATCTCTGATATCACAGAAGCAATGATGGGAATGTTGTCGGTCTCGTCGAACATGCCTGTAGTAAAGAGGGATGCGCCGATGATGGGACCAAACCCATTGAGTCGGCGTAGAAAGTCAGGATAGTTGTGTGAGCCGCGTGTTCCCTGAAAGTCATGCTGTTCGATCCAGCAGCCTTGGTAGACTTGATGAAACGTCAGTATCTCGGACTCTGAATATGGAAGCAGATATACTCACAGTCCAAAGTGCCTCTGAATATGTTGAGCGAGCAGAATGAACCGTAATGCTCGAGCAAGCTCAACAGATGTTTGTTAACAGCTTGCCACCAACTATTCTTCTGTTCAGAACCATTTATCATATCTTTAGAGAAGTCTCGCATGCCTTCTGATAGATTGTCTTTATACCAGTCGTCCAGGATGCCATAGTAGACGAACAGTATGCAGAGGTCTGTCTTCACTTCGGAAGCATGCCCCGGCCAGCAATAACTAACAAAGCGCACCATTGAGTGAGTCAGCCTCTGCAATACACTTGTATCGACAGTCAGCGCGTATGATGGTTCCGCAAAGTGCGCAGCTGTCTGGAGGTAGAGGTGATGGAATTCATGTTGACATGCCTCAGAGGAGTAATCGGGGCTTCTCCTGTCCATCTGAACAAGCATATCGACTACATTCTTGACATAAGATTGCATGAGAGTAGATGACGTTTCGGGTGCCGTATCAGCATTGTCATGTCGTAGTACAGGCTTCGTTGAGGGGGCCTCGGACTGATAGAGCGTGGGAGCTGCAACACGATCGGTAGCACAGTCGCAATCGGAAGCAGCAGGACAGGTCATTGCGCCTTGGATCGTCTCGTTACTGTGGTGTGGGCAATAGAACTCCTTCGTACCTCGCCGGTAGGCATGAGTGGTGCGAAAAGGTTGGTTGTCTCAGTACATTTAACCCAATCTGCATTGTACTGATCGCTGACCGGTCAACATTCAGGTGGGGAGCGTTGTCGCAGCTATAGATGGGCGTCAATGCAGGGAAGGATTCACTGGGCGCTTTCGAGTTTGTCCGCATCTGCTCTAGCAATATCGCGAGACAGCCAATCGATATTCATCACACAAGTAGAGTTTAGCAGAATTGATCATCAGATCTCTATATTTGGCTCTTCAAACAATGCTGCATCGGCCGTGATCGCGATACTCTACAGCGCCGATCAGCAGGTATCGACGCTATACATACAAGCGAACTCACGTCCTTTCTGGATAGGTATATATGATTAGTATAAAATGTAACCTTGAAGGGCTTCAGGTTGAGTGACAGAGGGCCTCGAAGGCACGTCGTCGAATGCCAAGAAAGCTGCCCAGCGTCTCAGGAAGATTCTAGTCAGTGTCTGTATTCCTAGCCCAAGCATACATAATTTACTCAACATCTGAAGAGTCACTGAACATCCTGCAACTATCAACAATTGTTTGAATTATCAGGATAGCGTCTGCGATGCTAGCTCTCCAGGTTGAAATGCGGCAGACGTCAGAATCATCTCTGCATTTGTGTTGCTGTCAGCCAAGCGAAGGATTCCATAAAGACTGGGCAAATCTCCACCCAGTCATGCCGATCGCAAGTTCGTCGACAGATATATGAACCACGCCCCAGAGCTTGCCCAGAGAACAGCTGTTCGACCACTGCAAAATCTAGGGACTCCATCGACTTAGGCACCCAAATTGACCGACTATCTGCTTGACTTTTGATCATGGAATCCACGATTCAACCACCGTCCAAACCAATTGCATTAAACAACAACTACATCGCTGACCGAACTCGTACACTCGGCCTACGCTGCCCCGATCGCCACTTCCGCGACGCCGTAGTCTGCGACGAGACCGGAGCCAAACTCTTCGATTTCACCGCCAAAGAACTCGGCACATCATGGACACTATGACGAAGCCTATTCGACAGCAAAACCTCACAACACATACTAGACCTCCGCCACACCAAAACAAACCTCAAAACCTGGATTCTAGAAGACGATTCTGGCAATGAGATTTGCAAGATCAGAGATGTGAGCAGCAGTTCTGGGTTTACTGCTGTGGATGTGCAGATGCTAGGAAACGAGGATGATGGAGTGGTACTTGAAATGCGGTGTTTTGATATAGCGGGCAGTAGGATGAGTTTCCAGAGTGATGGGGTTGTTATTGCTGAGTTGTCGTTGATGGACAATAACGATGCGTCGTTCTTACATAAACGTGGACTGGACCGCACGACATGGAAGCTTGAAGTGGCCAAAGGCGTTGATATCACTTTGGTGATTGGGTTGGCGTTTGCTCGTGCCGAGATCATGCATGCCTGGCGGCGGTAATCTGAGCCAGCAATTACTCTTCAAGACGAAACACGAAAAAAAAACGCTCTTTCCAGAATAGTATCGTCGATTATACCTCAACTTCTACATCCAGACTTTGCTTGTTCTCATAAAACGGATAATCCAGATACCCCTCCTTCTGCATCGGCGAATAAAACGTACTCCTATCATACTTGTTCAACTCGACTCCCTTCAAAATCCTCTCGGGCAAATCCGGATTAGCGATAAAATGACGTCCAAAAACAACAGCAGTATCATATGCTTTGTATTCTTCATCAACAGCGAATTTCGCCGATTGCGGAGAAAAGCCACCAGCAACCAGGACAGGAGAAACGTTATCCCAGATCTCGAGGAAGGGCTCGATGCCTTCTGTTTTCTCGCAGTCGACGCTGTTGATGACGCGAGATTCGATGATGTGCAAGTAAGCCAGTCGCTGTTGCTTGAGTCCTTGGACTAGATGCGAGAATTGAGGTATGGGGTCGTCCATTTTCATGCCTTGGAAAGTGCTGAAGGGACTGATGCGGAAACCAACGTGTTCAGAACCAACAGCGTTGACGCAGGCTTGGGAAACTTCGAGGGCGAAGCGTGATCGATTCTCAATGTTGCCGCCGTAGGAGTCGGTGCGGCGATTACAGGTGTCCTGGGTGAATTGGTCGATGAGATAACCGTTTGCACCATGGAGTTCTATACCGTCAAAGCCTGCTTTGATAGCATTCTTGGCTGCTTGAGCGAAAGTCTCCACAGCTCTTTGGATTCCTTCTTCGGTCAAGGCCTTAGGGATTGAGTCCGGTCCTTCGTTGAGCGGTGCTTCGCTCGAGCTAATGACAGGAAAGTTTCCTTCCTCTTTCAAGACATTAGGATCTGCTGCTCGACCGACAGAGACCAGTTGAGCGTAGATGTAACCTCCCTTGGCATGAACGGCATCTGTGATTTCCTTCCAACGCGCAATCTGAGCTTCCGTGTAAATACCAGGCGCATGACTGAATCCGCCGTGCTCGGGAGAGATGAGAATTGCTTCCGCAATGATAAGGCCTCCTGGAGATGTTCTTTGTGTATAATAGTCCTTCGCCATAGGCAATTGAACGTGGTCCTTGTCGGCGCGACGTCGGGTCAGAGGTGCCATGACCACACGGTGCTGAAGCTGAACCGTGCCCAGCTTGAGCGGTTCGAAAAGTTTCGTTGCTGACATAATTCTCCGAGTTTGAGACGACGACAACACGGTTTTGGCGAGGTGTTGGAGTGTTGGAAGAGCAAAATCAGACGTGAGAGACAGCAGCGAGCTTCGTTCGATTTATCAATCTCGAAAAAGGATCTGCACCCGACTCATGAGTCTGGGCAATCTATAAGTCTTGGTTACAGACGTCGGATCAAAAACTCCCGTGTCGCCCAGCCATGCCATTCCACCCATAAATCGCTTCGGCGGTTCTTCTTCCGACGGGTTTTGCAAAGTCGACATCCAAAAACTTCGGACGAAGGTCAAGTCTAATGGTAAGGTCGTTAACCAAACCTTGTCGGAAGGCTTTGAAGTAGTTTGCGACAGAGTGGCCATCCTTCATGTTCTCGATCTTGCTCAGAACCTCATCCGTGATCGAGGCTCTACATTCGTCTGGATACCGCTTGAAGAAAAACTCCGCAAGTCGTGACCTGACATAGAGCTCCACGAACGCTCCACGTTCGACCAAGGAAATGATCACCTCACCGTTGATGGCAGCTCCGAACTCTCTGTTTCGCATATTCGAAAACAGAATCATGACTTCGAAGCTCGGTACGCTGTTCCGCATGAGAGCGAGTAGCACCTCGCTCGTGATCCTCGTTATATCTGGCCACTCTTTCAGGAATCTTCTGAATAAAGTGGTGACATCCGGATGACGACCACCTATACTCCGAACCGCTGTATGAAAAATGTCGGGGGTCATGTTGATTTGAGATCGATATTTCTTAATAAGCACATTCCACATCAAGACGCTACCATTTCGATCCATACCATTTCGGGCCGCGAACATCAGTAGGGAGTCTGTGACCGGGATCTGATGTGGGCATTTCTCAAGCAAGAGCTGCACAAAACATGGACTGTCGTCAGCTACACATGCTTCGAGCACTTTGGGTGTGACGATCACTTGGTCTGGCCATTCATCCAATAGCATGGTCGTGATGTCGTGTCTCAATCTATAGTTGAGAATGACTCCAAGAAAGATTTGCTCTTCGATTTGAGAGTCCTTTGAATGTTGTTCAAGGAGAAGTTTGAGCGGTTCCAAGCTCTTTTCACACTTCCAGGCAACAATTCGCGCAATCTCAGTGTAGCATTCTATTGCCCAAGCCCTTCTCTCTTGCACAAAGCCAGCAAGACGCAAAGCGATATGCGGGGGCATAGGTACAAGTGCTCGTGATGGGCTGTGCACGAACGCTCTGAAAAGTTTGTCGGCGAATCCAGTTCTACTCATTTCATCGTACTGCCAGCAGCAGAACTCAAAGATCGACTCGGTGGCCAACTCGATCTCTTTGGTATGGTTACCTTTGTCGGATCCGACAGCCTGGATGATTGCATCTTCCAGTCGATTCAAAGACTGAGTCTCCTCGGCTGCCTTGACCCATTCTTTCATAATCACAAGTGGGTAAGGAAGAGTGAAGACCATGTTGATGATTCGAACCACCGAGGAGCTTTCGTCAGGATGCCTTACAGGGTTCTTGAGGCGGAGGAACGCCTCTAGGACCTCCTTGTTGATTTGACTCGGCTTGTCCGGCATGATCATCTTCCAAGTTGTACGTCCCATCTTGTCCTCGGCAGTGAGAAGCTTTTCCATGTTCTTCCCTAATGTCGTTGATGGGTTCTCAGGAAGTGGCTCTCTAGCTATGATTTCCATGATGGTCTCGATAGCCTCGATGTTATTCCCATCCAGAGCTTTGTGCAATGCAGTCCTCTTCATATCATCGACAGCAGTCGACATGTCAGGTATGTAGCTAGCAAATTCTTTCAGGCCGTTGACATCGTTCAGTTCAGCTGATCGTAGGAACTCCGCTTCAACTTTCTCCAGATCGACGTGTTCATACCAGACTTGGTCAGGCAGTTTTCTCCTAACACAATCCACGGGCTCCAAGACTTTGCGGATATCTTGAAAGGATTTCCATTTGCTTTCAAAAGTCGCAAAATCTTCGGCGGACAGATCGTTCTTCCGAGCTATGGACGACTTCAAGAGTTCCATCGAAGATTTTGTTCTCTCTAAACAGCTCCGGTGTTTCAACTTGGCGTAAAATAGGTAAACAGCTCGAGCGACGAGTCCAAGGATTACGGCCATGAACGTCGTGGTCTGACCCCAATCTGTGATGCTTCCAGGCTTCGATAGATCATAGAGCGACAGCATGCGTTCCATGCTCGAGATAGCTACACCAGCAGGCAATGTCCACAGAATCCAATCCGTCAATGTAGTTGCAGGCATCCTGGAAAATGCTTCCAGGCTCCAGATTTTGGTTATTCTGGCGGGCTGCAAGTTGATCATCGTCGTGCTACTCATTGGATCAGTCAACGTCAGACGTTGGAGAAGAGAATTGCTCCAGCCGATTTTTCTAGTCGTCTTCTCGCCCTTCGCGACACGCTCTGAAAGGTCGTAAAAGTGCATATGATGCAGTCCGATCGCGCATGATCGTAAGGCGATCAAAGTCCGCATGCTCCAGTAGATCCAGAACATCCAGGGGACCTGTTTGCATGAGTCGAAAGTACCCCACCACACTGCTCGTACACATGGTTGGCACGGGTCTTTCTGAGCAGAGGACATTGGGAAAGACACGCCAATCACGATGGCTAAGGAGACCTGTACAAACAGCTGAGAGGCGGAGTTGAGTACGACCCACCAACGAGATGCTAGAGTTTCCTTCTGTGAAAGAGCCATCTGCACGGTCGCACTGGTAACTTCAAGAGACATGACGGCGACCATTAGCTGCCAGAAGGTCAAAGCTGTATAAGACCTGAGCAGTGCGAATGCTAGAGATAGCATGGCTAGACATTGATGTGAGCGCAAGTCTGATGGTGAGAGGTTGCACTCACAAGTAAGCTGAGCAGTACCAATGTCCTTGACGGCTGTCTTCTCCTGGTGAAAGTGTCCAAGGAAAGATGAGAATATGGTCACCAAAAATGAGACATAGAGCGAGATTCTGATGCCGATACCTCCAATGTCTGCGTTCATACGATTCTGCACTGCATCGCATGCAACGAAAAAGACTTGATACGCGGCGTGAGTTGTGATGTTCGTAGCTGTCGGATCGGAGCATGATTCCAGAAAGTCAATAGTAGCTTGAGACTTGGTGTAAAAAGCGGATGACCCGGGCGTGGATAGTACCCAAAGTATGGTCAACATGGATGAGGGAATACCGACTAGTAATGGGAGCCAGATGGCCCATGAAAACGATCGTCCTTGGGTCAATCCACTTGAGATCCTGGCTAAATTGTGTGCGCCTTGAGATGTTCGGAGTCGATTCACAGGCAGTCCGCGGCCTCGCCTAGACCATTCGAATGTCATGACTCCAATGACTATCGCCAACCATCCCAGATAGAAAGTCAAGCAGACATAATACAGCCAAGAGTATCCGTCGTCTGCTGGAGTGACAAGGGGAGAATTCGCAGAGCAAATTGTGCCCAGTGATGAATCAGCCACCATGACAGCAGATTCCCTCACGCTGGGAACAATCAACAAATCTATTGAGTTGGTGAGAAAAGAGGATGCCAGCAGGGAAATTTACAATGTAGGTTGGCCTTCAATGGTGTCTCTCCAGCCAGCTCCGCGAGCCAGCCCTAGTGCTTTGAGAGCTGCAGGGGGCGGCGCCTAAGCAGAATCATTGACTTAAGTTAGGCGGCTTGAGCCCAAGACATGCGCAGTCAATATTAGCTTCCCATATTGACTGAGAATAAGGGCGTCCAAATGTCAGTCATGTGTCTCTTATCTCAATAGAACAGAATGTGAACCAAGTGTCTGATGAGGTGTGCGAATTCGTCTGCCATTCTTTAGGCTTCTTGAAGAGCGGACCAGTAATATACAAGCACAGTATACTAACCGTTGACGAAACTTTTCGCTTTGCTTGCTACAAGAGATCCTGTTGAAGGATCGAGTGACCAAACAGACGGGTCAGGCCGGCGCGTGCAGAAAGAGGCGCGGACACCACGAGGCGTCGACTGTTGAAGTAGAGGTCTGATGGCATCGCAGAAATGAGAGAAGGGATCAATGGAAGAACACGATCTCGCAGTGACATCCACAGTGTAGAGCAAGAGCTTTGGGGATGGCAAGAGGGAAGATTCGCTTGTGTCGCGTCGGAAGTCGTACGGGTTTCGTCGCGTCACCCAACACATGACTCGCACTTGCTTACAGCATGACCCTGTTCTTAAACTTGAGCATTTGTTCTAGGTTTACAGACACGACAATATGGATTTGGCAGTGATTTATTTGTCTTCAGATGCGTTTTATCCATTGTGCAAACTTCTCTTAATTCTGCTTAAGCGTTTTCCGATGCTACCGATCAGACTTGTGGTTTTGGAGAGAAGTCGTGATTTTGCCGTAGAAAGTAATTCAGAAAGTCATGGACAAAAATTGTTTGTCGATCCACAAACGTGTTCCTGACGCTCAATTCCGAGCAAATATATTCTTGATTATCACATTACTCGCTATGAGACTATAGAATCACAAAAGTTCTGACAAAACTTACGACTTGGTTTCCACGTCTTGGTTGTGCAGTGGTGGAGGTAGAGGTCAGGTTTTCGTGGCTCCTGCGCAAGTCTCCGCGCGGTTCAGCGCGTCACGATCCAACAGCTCTCCAAGTCTACAACACAAACAAGATAACCACAAACATGACCTCTATAGCTCTGATGAGAAGTCCGCAGACAGAGACGTGTCCGCATCTTCCATCTAAAATCTCTATCGTGACTGCCGAGATGACCTGACATCTGCTGCGATCTCATGCATACACATTGCGCAAACCACTTTACTCATCGTCAATCACATACAACCACAACGCCTGCCCTACGAAAACTCGGCAGCAGAACGCGCTGGGATCTACCTCGGCGAAAATCAGCAGCAGAGAAGCACTAACAGGAGTCTTGCGCTTTCTGAAGCATCTAGCACACACCATATGTCACTGTCGCAAGAAGGATGAATAATGCGCGACAGGGAAGAGGTCCAGCCATTGCTAAAAGGTGCTCACTGTGAGACGTGAAGTGTAGTTCCAGTTGCCCCGCCCGAGCCTCAGGCCTTTCTCGTAACCCGTCCGGACTCGACCGACTGAGGGCCGATGGCAGGTATTGCGCTGTAGGCCGGACGGGCCGCGAAAAGACGACGAAACGTGCCGGAAAGCGTGTGAGGCAAGCATGCACGTCGCAAAGGCATCAGAGAGTTGGGGGGTGACTCGGTTGAGCATGTTTCAGAGATGCACATGAGACGAACTGCAGGTCCATGAGGTCTGCTGTTGATGGATGCAAGATTCGACGTTGATAACTGTCTGCCACATGCATGGCACATGTAAATTGTGATGCGGTCACGTTTTGGCTGCAGAGGTCGTCCATGGACAATTTGGTGCCGAGTGTGCGCGGAAGAAGTGGACTTTTCATGGACAAGCTGTCGCCATGAGGGCAAAAAGCTGAAGGAAGTTTCAGAAGGGCCGCATGCCCTGGAAACGTGAAAAGGTAGAGGAGGGGACGGCCTGGCCTTCGAGTGTGGAGCGATTCATGTGAATTGAGTTTGGAGGCAGAAAGCATCATGCCTGCTGGACAGAAAAATAAATCGACGTGGTAAAAAAAAATGCAATTACGGCAGCAATTGTGGTTGGCTTAATTGTACAGTCGGTGCACACTGTCCATCAACTCGACTAAAATTACCATCCGAAAGATCAATCTCGCAAATTGCTATTCGCGGATGTGTTGTCGTCATGTGATTGGAACAGACATGAGGAGGCATTTATCCAGCCAGCCAGATACATGAAATGAAGAACATGCTTGACTTTTGAGAAGAAAGACAGAGTGCTAGCTGTGAATAATTAGCGGAACACGGAGATGCGGTGCGAGCTGGGGAGATCGACATGTTTCCAATTAATCTCAAACAGGATCAGCTGAACGCCCACAGTCCACCCTCTCTCACTGGCTTGGGATTAGGCGCTCCAAGCGTTGAAACTTGATGTGCGGATCGACTTGCGCAAACCTCACGCACTTTTGGCTTCTGAAAGCTTCCATTGTTCAGCAAATCTTTGTGCTCCCGGCAAGGAAGAGCAGACGCAATCAGTGGATGTGCAGCAGGGATTTTTGACAAATGGCATGCTTGTGTCACAAGAAGAGAGTCAAAAGACAGACAAGATGTTCGTGCAACCCGTATTGAATACGATCGCAGCAAAACTCGAAGCCCAATTAACGACACCCAAAGCCATCAACATCGAGCGTGAAGGTGTTGATAGGAACAGCGCGGACAGGAATACCACTCTATGACATGACGAGGTACATACAGATGTGCTGCGCCACAATGTAGGTGGTTGCATAGTCACGAATAAGACTCGGGCGCTTACGAAAAACCTCCGAGATCGAAGGACATTATTAACCAGTCAGTACGCTGCATCCTGGAATGGTGCTTTGATGACGATGAAAAGGACAAGTGCACGGCGCTTGGACTGATTGTACGTTGGTCCATGGTCCATGGACATGCAAGCTCGGGAAGCGGAATAGAAGCAGAGCGGAAGAAGCAAAAAAGGAGCGGTGACGGCGATCGGGAAATGAGGTGGGTGTTAGCTGGAGAGGCTAAGAGCAGAAAAGGAGGATTGCCCTTCCTAAAGATTGATAGTGTGATAGCAGGCGATGGTGCGTGGGAAGAGGATGTTATTCTTGGAGACGGAGTTGGCTGGGTTAAGTTAACTATGGCTTGTGGAGTGGTCGAGTTGGTCAGGTTGCAAACAAGCAGAGGTTCAGCAGGGAGCAGTTGGCCGTTTCGGTCGGCGCGTGTTTCAAGTGTAGAGCGTTGTGTGGATCTGCCGCCAGCAGGCTTTCCGCCAAGTTCATGCAGGTACCAACGCAGGTGCTGTGATATCGTGGGTGGAATCGGCAAGCAGGAAAGGGCATTTGCATCATGATGGAGGAGTGCTATGGAGCGTCTACGTGTGCTCGATTGAGATAGCCAACAGGAACAAGCAAAAAGAGGAGGTTGGCAACGCGCTGTCTTCTCGAAAGAACAGTAAATTATCGAATCAACGGCCGAGATTGATGTGGCTTTAGTGCACGCACGAAAGCGGCAAGCACTCGAGTAAGGGCACGCCTTCCCGGAAAGGGCCTCCTCTGTCCACCATCGCTGAAGTCGTGTCGTATCTACAGAAAAGGCGGAGAGCGGTGCTGGACATGTTTAGGTCGGTGAGGCCGCCGCGCACCATCTCTCGATGCGGACAGCTTCCCAAATGAAGAAGCGGTGCTAAGCAGGTGATACCAAAGCTCTTGCTTGAGTTCGAGGCTAGAGGGCGCTGGGGCGTTGGACTAGAGAGTCTCAAACAGGGCACGGGCAGGCTTGGCGGGTTTCGAGTCTTTCTTGCACCTGTTTCATGAGCCTCATCAACCTCTTCCCTCCCGCAGCCCTCAGCCCTCTGTCATTCTCAAACACTCCCATCAATACCCTGCCCGCTCTCTCTGCGACACCTTCCTGTCAAGTCGCGCCTTCCCTCCAGAGCTCTTGCTGCTGTATCGCGTCTGCATCTGCACCTGCGCTTCCTCCTCGCATCCCGCAGCACAACGGCATACCACGCTATCGCAGGCCGGTCCTCGATACTGACTGTCGTCGTTGTTTCTCTACCATCTCTATCCATACCCCCTCCACACTCGCTTGTACCCTACCCTACCCTCGCCAGCTCAAACACTTGTCGCATTCAGTTGCAACTCTTTTTTGATTAGCACATCCCCCCTTACTCTAATATCCTGATCTTCATTGCAATGTACTCGACACAGCACGCCGTCATGGCCGGCACACCTCAGGCTCGGTCGGTAGCCCCGGAGACGTTCCTTCTCGACCAGGATGCCCAACAGAGCTTGCCCGCAGACTCGATAGTCGCTCTGCAGCAAGTCGACAACCGTACGTCGTCGCCGCAGCTTCCGTCCCCTCTTCCTATCCACATCAATGGACGCGCTGGCCCTTACTGACGCCGATCCAGTCAAGTACTTTTTGATCTCAGCACCTGTCGACTGGTCGCCGGACCAGTACATCAGACGCTTCCTGCTGCCCACTGGCGAATACGTGTCTTGTGTACTCTGGTACGTCATACTTGACTGACTGACAGGCTTGCGATATGATTGCTCATTGAACCTCCAGGAGCAACCTCTTCCACATCTCGGGCACCGACATTGTACGATGCCTATCCTTCCGCTTCCAAGCCTTCGGCCGTCCGGTCAAGAACTCGAAGAAGTTTGAAGAGGGCATCTTCTCGGATCTGCGAAACCTCAAGTCTGGCACTGATGCTTCGCTGGAAGAGCCGAAAAGCCCCTTCCTCGACTTCCTGTACAAGAACAACTGCATTCGCACACAGAAGAAGCAAAAGGTCTTTTACTGGTACAGCGTGCCGCACGACCGTCTGTTCCTCGACGCCTTGGAGCGCGACCTCAAGCGTGAGAAGATGGGCCAGGAAGCTACAACCGTGGCCGTCAGCGAGCCCGCCCTTTCATTCGAGTTCGACTCGAGCCAGTCGCTGTTCGAGCAGCTCACAAAGGCTCAGCAGACCAACAGCTCGACCTTCGCAAACACAGCAGCACCGCCAACAACGGGCCCAATGGCATCCAACACGATGGCCGCCGCAGCAGGCACCCCGCAGCCCATGGGCCCTCCAGCAACTGCAGCCGAGTCGATGGGACCACCAGTGGGGGCTATGATGCAGCCAACAAGTATGCCCCTAACGATGCCTTCGGAGGAAATGTTGACGCAGATGCCAACGTACCAGCAGATGGCCATTCCAGCTCCCCTGCCAGCCCAGGTGCACAAGACACGTGAACAGAGCTGCGGGCCCATCATGCACTACGAACGCGCCATGAACGCCGCCGCCCGCCACAGCAGCATGCCCGCTTACATGGAGTACTCGCCCGCCCCGTCCTTTGTCTCGTCGCACTTTGAAGACTACAGCCAGCGCGGCCTCAGCTACGAGCCCATCACTCCTCCCCAGCACCTGCAGCAGCAGCAGCAGCCCCACCACGAGCCTGCCTACATTGCCAACGAGGAGACGGGTCTCTACGCCGCCATGCCCGACCCCGGAATGTCGCAGTACTACAACCCTCTGATGCCTGTCGCACAACCCATGGCCGCTCCGCAGTACCCCTCGATGATGCGCCCTCTCCACCACTTCCCTTCGGCGCTTGAAGGCTCGCCCACTTACAAGCAGCGCAGACGTCGCTCATCCTTGACCCAACAACCTCCCAGCTCGACTCCCCAGAGTGTCACTTCGCACGCTGTCCACCGTCCTAGCGACTTGCGCCACTCGTCTGTGCCCGTCCACGACGTTGATCCCGTCTACCATGACTCGCCGAGAGGAGCCACTCCCGTCCGCCAGCAGAAAGACTATTCGCGCCATGCCACTCCAGTTGAAGACTCGATGCCTTTGGGCCAGGAAGAGTACAACCAGGCATACTCGGGAGACCAGTACCGTCCAGTCAACTATGCTCAGGCTGCCGTCATGCGCACTCCCAACGGTGTCTTCCGTCGTGCCCGCAGCGCCACCGTCCAGGACATGAACAACCCATACCCTTCGAAATCTCATTCGTGTCCCATTCCCATGTGCGGCAGGGTCTTCAAGAGGTTAGAGCACTTGAAGCGGTGAGTCTTACTTGCTGAAGATTGAATCGTTCCTTTACTAATTGCTCTCAGGCACGTTCGTACTCACACTTCAGAACGTCCCTACGTCTGCCCACTCTGCAACAAGGCCTTCTCTCGCTCAGACAACCTCGCCCAGCACCGCCGTACCCACGACGCCAACCCAGACGGTACCACCTTCCCCGAAGACGACTTGGAAGAGCCCGAAGAAGGCATTGACCTCTCGGAAGGCGATGTTGCCGACTCGTACATTCCCATGCCTGGCATGCCTTCCGACATGCACGGCGACATGGGCCCACCTCCGCCGCACATGCACATGAGCCAAATGTCGCGCGATCACATCGACGCCCACCACACGGAACCTCACCACATGCAACATTCCATGCCTCAGGGAATCGTCTCGACCGGCGCCGAATACCAATGAAGATAAAAAGAACACAGAATCAGAACGACACGCATACCCCCCTTTTTACGCGTCTCTTTTGTTTGTAACGGGCTTTTTTTCGCTTTCCATCATCTCTTCCCTCTGGGCATACAGGGAGAGGCTTTTCGGAGTTGTGTGTTTGGGTCTGCTGTTGATGCATCACGCATGTCACAGCTAAAGGGGGCGCTGGAGAGGTTGCTTTTTCGACAGACTTTTTTTTTTCTTTCACTGTTCTACATTGTTCGTGTTTTTGCATCTTGCCGATCTGATTTGCAGCGCTGATTGAAGCGCGCTATTGTTCTGTTGATTGTATTTCTGAGCTATCAGATGAGGAGAGATGACGATAGGGAAGAGAGGACTAAAAAGAAAGAGAAGACTTGTACAAGAGAACCACTTACATATTTCCCATTAATATTTACCAGCGAGAGCAAGAAAAGAGAGGAAGAGGTTGGGCATTGAAAAGACGAGAGGATCTGCAATCAGATGGCTGCTGTGCGGCCTCGTTCTGCAGGAACTGCTCTTGAACACTCAACTGCCTGTTTTCTCTTCCTTTCGTCTTTCAAATTGTCTCGCTTATTGGACATTACTTGACCCTTGACCTTTTCCATTACACTCTGCCTATTTGCTGCTTCTTTTTTTTTCTCTTTTTTTTTCTTTTTTTTCTTCTTCTTCTTTTTCGTCTTTGCAAGTAAGCACTTCTAGACTCGAAAAGTGTCGGCCTCAAGCTTCTCGCCAGACTTTTGTACTCTTCTTTAGCGAGAGCTTTTGAGGAATACGTACCCAAGAAGGAGAGGTGGTGGATTTTGGTGTCTTTTTGGGATTTGGGCTTGGCATTGCTCTTGTTTTACTTCTCTTGTGCCTATTTCTTGAGATTTGAAAGAGGAAAGGGGGAAGGGAACAGGAAAAAGAATTGGATAGAAGGACTGCTGCACTTGGGGATACGTTCATGAACGTTGCGTAGAGCTAGCGATACACTAAACACCTGTCTGTCTACTGCTCGAACCCCGATCCCAGTAACACACAAGTTGCTTTCAAACCCACTAATCTAATCCAACCCCCTTAATGCTTCCTCGACTTCAACTCTACCTACATCTCCTTTCGCACTGCCCCAGAGCCTGACCAATTCTTTCGCTTCCTGCTTGGTCAACTCTCCTTGCTTGACAGCCTCCACCATATCTTTCGGAGAATCGCTGAACCAAGACCAGAAATCTGCTGCTTGTTGGAGGGAGGAAGAAGCTTCGATATCTTTAAGCACTTGTTGCAGCACCAAAATGTTGAGGTGCATACGGCCTATACCGTGGGGATCGTCCATAGCAGGGATAGATTGAGTGAAGCTGGTAAGAGCAACAGAAGCAGGATGAGCAAGATGCAACACCAAAAGTTTATGTTGCGCAGGTGGAAGATTCACACTTAGATCCTCGTCAAAGTTTAGAAGATGTTTCGAGAGTAAAAGGATAGAAGGGTCAGGATCGTTATAAGGTTGACCAAGCAAATACGTCGTATTCAGCGCACGAGAAACGCCAGAAAGGATTTGGAGACGCATTTCGAGATGCAAGGTTCGTAGGATCAGAGAGCCGAGATCTGTCATTGAGGTTGTGATGGCGTCAAAGTCGCGAGAGGATTGGGTGTCTAGAGGGAGGTAGATTGCGGCGTGAGGATTTGGCGATATCAGAGTTGTCCAGCGACGGGTTTGGTGTCGTGAGGAGGTGTTGGAAGTGTTGGAGTTGGACATTGAAGCAGACATGTGGCGGAGTTGTGTGATGTGAGCGACGAACCAGCGTGTGCTGTTGTATAATGTGCACAACCCGCTCAAGCATTTGCGGTCGAAGATCAGATCTGCGTCTGTAAGTGGAGAGGCTTTGACATTGGCAATCAGTGAAGCGGTTTGTTCTTGCATCAAGCGTTGGACGTCGTCCGCATTTTCAGCTTCGTGAGCGAGGAGAGTAGCTACGGCATCTCGCATGTCTGCGTTATATTCTGCGAGTGCGGCTGATCGCTTGGGTCTCCTTTCTTCGTTGGGGTTTTGTTGTGGTCGCATGACGAGTGCACGGTACCAGTTGTAGCATTTGTCGTAATAGATGCGCATCTGCGCCATGACTAGTTGACTGAATGCTTGATCATGAGGCAGACTGTCCAGCAGCATGCAAAAGGCTTTGATCAAGTCAAGGAAATTCGATGTGCCCTTGAAGACTGGCTTCTGTGCTCGCACCTGCCACTTAGGATCTTGCTGGAAGGCATCACTCTCAGCAGATGCGGCCATGCACATATCTGCCAAGGCTTCTTCCAACTGGGGATGGAAGACATTCATCAGGAAGTCGTCGAGGAAAGAGGTGAGAGTGCTTGTCACAATCTCGGAACTTGGCGGTACAATGTCCTTCAGCCTGGTCAAGAAAGACAATGAAGGAGGCAGCAGGATACCCATATTGAAGACACTGGGTTCGACCAACAGCTTGTGGCCAGTGGCTGAGCGATCTTCGTTCTTTTCGGCTTCGGCCTCCTTTGCAACAGGCGTTGTGCCGGTGGCTGCCAGACCAGGAACCGAAGACTTGAGAATAAAGTCAAGGTCTTCCTTCTCGATTGTTAGTTCAGTTGACTTTGTGTCTGTGTCTGCTAGCTTGAACAAGCGTTTGTTGCGATCGCGAGGATGAGGCTTGAAGACGTTTGCTGCATGATGGTGTTCAGGATGCGATGAATTCTCAGGGCTACCACTAGCGGCCAGATGGTCATGCAGCAAACTACGAATCTCACTCTGATATAGCTTCCAGAGCTCACGGAAGCTTCGCAATAAGGCGGGTTCATGACTGCCTTGGCGGGACAATATACCACCAATGGCTTCGTGTAGAACGCGGTGACCTTCTGCAATGGCCTCAAACTTTGCGTACAGGGTAGACAGCATGTCTTCGAGAATCATTTTCTTGTCTTGGTTGATGTCAGCATTGATGTTATCAAGCTGGAAGTGTTGCTGCTTTGCTGCGCCACGAATGATGCCGGGATAGTTTTGCTCGACTTCGGTGTATGATCTCTCGACGACACGGAACAACTCAACGGGCAGTCTTTGTTCGATCTGATCAACTGCAAGGTCCAGACGTGACATGCGATCGAGTGCCTCGACCAGAAGCTGGATGTATGAGAAAGTGTCTGCTTCGGGATTGCGGGATGTGTCTTCGGTCAATATCTGAGAAGGGTCAAATGATTCGAGGAAGCGGTATAGTTGACGACCCTCAATTTCGAACGATGCCGTACCAGCGGTGGTAGAACGGTTAGCATATTGCTTCCATCGCTCTTCGCAGTAAGGGCTCTTGAGGTAGAGGTGGCTGTGTAGTTCTTGGATGAGTATGTCGGTGATGGAATGTTCTTGGTTGCTAAAGTAGACCCGCAAGTCGCTCAGGGCGCCGATATCTTCCATATCAGGCTTGTGCATGAGTTTGAGAGCGTCTTGCAGTGTCTCTACAGCACCGAGGAAGCGCTTCTCTGATATTTGAGCCTCGAGCTTTGCGGGCATGAGTTGCAATTGCTCAATGTAAGCCAGGGTCTGCAGCATATGGTCGTAGCTCTGACTTGACTGAGCGAAGGCCTTGAGTTCGGGACGAGTAGTACGAAGGTTTCCCTTTGCCTGGACAAGGGATTGTTTCAAGGAGCGGACTCGTTGTTGGGAGGACTGGATGCTTGATTGGATCTGATGGAATGTACCGATGGACGAGTTGAAGCCTTGATGGTGCTGGTTGACAATGGCCTTGAGAGCGTTTTGCAGTTGTTGGTGAGTTTCCTGGAAGCTCTGGTACTGGTCGGCCAGACCGAGAGAGCTCTGGTCCATGAGCTGTAGGGCGACCTTGACGGGGACACACGACTCGTTTGCCATTTGACCCCAGTGACGATCGATGTAGCGCAGAATCTCCTCGACCTGCCTGCTGTTCTCTGCATTGCGCATCTGCGAGGCTGCCCGGCTCCTGCTCCTGCTCATTGCTCTGCCCTCTCCGCTGGCTCTCTTGCTCCTCTCCAGTCGCGCCGGACTGCCTACTCTTGGAACGTAGTCATCGTGTGCTCCACCAACGAGACCACCATAGCCATTTCCAGCGGCAGGACCCCTTGATCGACTTCGTTCATCTGCGCTGTGGTCTCTGCTGGTTGCGTCGAGGTCGTAGCGACGCGGGTACTGGTAGCCGTCTCCATTGGTGTATGCTCGGTCGCTGGTTGCCGAAGGCGTCGCCGATGGCCGGCGCATGTACGACATGTTGTTGTTATTATGTGTGGCCCATTGGCTGTGGCACAAGTGTGCCTTCCTAGTACATGAGCCAGCTGGTCAATTGTAGTGACAGTTGGTATACAACGAGGGAGCATCGGCGCAGCTGCCGTATCGGGAGTGACGCGTCTCGGCAAAGTTGCCCTGTTCAGTCAAATATGGAAGTTGCGACCTGCGACAGCTCGCGCTTCCCTTGCACCAGCAACTTACGTGGGTCCGTCCATCACCAACAATCTACAGCTTGCGCCTTCCTCTTCCGCCGTCCTTTCCATCACTCTCTCATCGCGAGCTCCTACCGTCAACTGGATTAGAAGAGAACGTCGACGTCGCAAGTTCCCCGTCGCGCCAATCCATGGCCTATTGATTTCGGCGCATCCACACTTTCCCTACCACAATGGCTGCTGTCATGAACGGCCACGCAAATGGTCACGGTGACCACGATCAAGACGTTACCACTGCTCTCGTTCGATTCTCACACATTCCCGCCGCTCTTGATGTGCCGCTCTCAAGTGGTGACGCCGAGGAGGCCGTCGAGGTCAATCTCGAGGATCTGATGGACGACCCTACCGAGCTGTGTACCTTGCTGGAGAACGAGAATGTCGCTCGCGGCTACTGGATGACCATCGCCCTGGCCTATGCCAAACAGCAAAAGGTCGACCACGCCATCGACATTGTCACACGAGGTCTCAGTTCCCTGTCGCGCAACGCAAAGCCCGAAGACAAGCTGTCCCTGCTCTCATGCTTGTGTTGGCTGCGCTTGTGGCAGTGCAGAGAGGCCCCTCGTCTGAAGCCTGGTACTTAATAGACAAGACACACACATACCTGTCGCATCCACTGACTTGTCTGCAGACACCCAGCTGGCCTCTGAGGCTCGCAACAAGGAGTACTACATCCACCAGGCTACTAGCACTCTCAACGAGGCCTCGCGCATCAGTCCCACCTACCCACCCCTCTTCCTCGCTCGCGGTGTCCTCTACCTCCTCCGTGCTTCGCTACAGCCTTCCAAGTCGTCCTCAACCGCCCAAGAGTCCGAACGTCTTGACACCCTCCGTCAGGCCGCAAAATGCTTCGAAGACTCTCTGCGCGCTTCCCACGGTCGCAACATGATGGCTGTAATGGGCAAGGCCAGAGCTCTCTTCTCCCTCGGCAAGTACGCCGAAGCCCTCCACAACTACCAGTCCGCTCTCGAGCGCGCCCCACAACTCCAGGACCCGGATCCGAGAATCGGCATAGGCTGCTGTTTCTGGCAGCTTGGTCACAAGGATGAGGCACACAATGCATGGCAGCGCGCCCTTGAAGTCAACCCGACTTCCAAGATTGCCAACATTCTGCTCGGTCTGTACCACCTCGACCAGAGCGCAAAGTTGCCCACCACCGATCCCGAGTTCCAGCAACACTACAAAAAGGCCATGACCGAGTACACCCAGACTGCATGGAAGCTCGACAACAAGTTCCCTCTGACTTGCGCTACCTTCGGCAACTACTTTATCCTCAGAAAGGCCTGGCCCACGGTAGAGCGTCTCGCCCGTCAAGCCATCGAGGCCACCGACGTCAACGCAATTGCCAGTGATGGATGGTATCTCATGGCCCGCAAGGAGCACACTGAAGGAAACGTCGCCAAAGCTACAGACTACTACAACAGAGCCGACCAAGCAAGAGGTGGAGATGAGAGAGGTTATCTGCCTGCCAAGTTTGGTGCTGCTCAGCTCAAGATTCTTTCAAAAGACTGGAGCGGCGCAAAGTTCCGTCTCGAGAGCATTGTTCAGTCCACAAAGAGCGCCGAAGCTATGACTTTGCTTGGTCTCTTGTACGCCGAAGAACTTTACGCTAACCAAAACTCTGGATCCAAGGAAGACAAGTCATCCGAGATGAGAAAGGCTATTGGTCTTCTGGAGGGTGTCCGCAACACCTGGAAGGATCCCAAGAAGAAGGCTACTCCAGACTCTTACGTTCTTCTGAACTTGGCTAGACTCTACGAGATCGAGAACCCCGAGCGCAGTCTTCAATGTTTGCAGCAAGTCGAGCAGATGGAGATGGACGACATTGACGAAGAAGATCGCCCGGAGACCAAGGATGAAGCAGAGCTCAAGGCTTCTCTTCGTGAAATGCTTCCCCCACAATTGCTGAACAACATGGCTGCCTTCCACTTCCAAGCCGAGCGATTCAGTCAAGCCAGAGACTTGTTCCAAACTGCTCTCAACGCTTGTGTCAAGGCAGGCGCAAAGGACAGCGAACTCGATACTGACTCGCTTGTGACTTCCATCAGTTACAACTTGGCCAGAACCTACGAGGCTGAGAACATGCTGGAAGAGGCCAACCAGGTTTACCAAGGTCTACTCGAGCGTCACCCCGACTACACCGATGCCAGAATCAGACTTGCATACATTGCACTGCGCGAGAACCCCTCAGAAGGTGCTCAAGCTGTCAAGAAGTTGCTCGAGTCAGAACCCGGCAATCTCGACATCCGTGCTCTTTACGGATACTACATTCACAAGGCAAAGAAGCGCACCATGAACCCTGCCGAGGATCAAGAGCAAAGACACTACAAGCACACTCTCCAGCACCACGACAAGCACGATAGGTACTCCCTGACTGGTATGGGTAACCTCTTCTTGCAGGTTGCTCGTGAGATGCGCAGAGATACCGACCAAGACAAGGAGAAGCGTACAAAGACATACATCAGAGCTATCGAATTCTTCGACAAGGCTCTGCAACTCGACCCCCGCAACGCATATGCCGCCCAGGGCATTGCCATTGCACTGATTGAAGACAAGAAGGACTACGGAACAGCGATTCAGATCTTTACTAAAGTTAGGGAAACCCTGAAAGATGCCAGTGTCTTCATCAATATGGGTCATGCATTCGTCGAGGTCAAGCAATTCGCTCGCGCAATTGAGAGTTACGAGGCTGCTCTTGCCAAGGATCGCACACACGACCCCAGCATTCTTGCTTGTCTTGGTCGCGTCTGGCTGATGAAGGGTAAGCAAGAGAAGAACTTGCAGGCCATGAAGACAGCACTCGAGTTTTCGAACCGTGCATTGGAATCATCACCTGAACAACTTCACTTCAAGTTCAACGTCGCATTTGTCCAAATTCAGATCGCACAGCTTATCTACACTCAGCCCGAGGCTGCAAGAACCCTTGTCGACCTTGAGGCTGCTGCGAGTGGCTTAGATGAAGCTATCGAAAGTCTTATGGCTATTGCTCGTGCACCAAACCCACCTTTCCCCAAGAACGACATCGAACAGCGTGCCAACATGGGAAGAAACACAATGCGCAAGCAGTTGGACCGTGCTTTACAAAGTCAACGCGACTTCGAGCAGAAGAATGCATCAAGGCTTGAACAAGCTCGCCAACAGCGTGAGGCCGAGATCAAGAAGCGCGAAGATGAGAAGCGAGCACTGGAAGAGGCAAAGGAAGAACGCAGAAGAAAGATTGCCGAGGAAAGACAACGCATGCAAGAACAAGACCGCGAAATCGCCGAACAGAAGATTGAGGAAGAAGCGGAGCGCAAAGCTCGTGAAGAAGCTGAATTCACAACTGACGAAGAAACGGGTGGTCGCAAGAAGAGAGAAAAGAAGCCCAAGGGGTCAAGGAGAAAGAAGAAGGGTGGTGACAGCGACTCAGACATTGTCAACGACGAAGATGAGTCTGATGCTGACGGCAACGCCGACTTTGAAGCAAGAGAAAAGCGACAAAAGTCCAAGAGACGCAGCACTTCAGCCGCTTCTGACGACGAAGACGGTGAGAAGCCCAAAAAGAAGAAACGTAGAAAGCTTGAAAGAAAGAGCAAGGTCGCCGAGCCGAAGGGCAAGTTCAAGAGCTCCGAGGTTGTGGTGGACAGTGACAGCGACGACGATGCTGTTGTTACACAAAACGAGAATGCAAGACTTGCCGAGAAGATCAATGATGAGGACGATGCCCAAAAGGAAGCTCGTGGAGATGAGTCGATGGGTGAAGGTGGAGACGAGGAGGATACTGTTGTTGAGAGGCGGAGAAAGAAGCCTGCTCGTGTGATCGACGACGATGATGAGGATGAGGACGAAACTCCAGCCGCTGCTGGTGGAGATGTCTCGATGGTTGATGAGACCGTCACAGCAGCTGGCAATGAGAATGCCCCCGACTCATAGGTATCTCTTTTCTGTACAATACGGGTAGCCAATATCTCCCCTTGAGATCGGGCGTTGAAAATAACTACATCTTAATGAATCTCCAGCACTACGACATCAGCAGCGTTTTCCATCCATCCCTTATGTCAAGGTAGAAAAGAACTAGTATGCAACTGTTCCTAACAAGAATAGAGTGTGGTCCATGGGTAACCGTTGAGGTGGTGCGAGCAGTGCAATCATGGAGAAGCTTTGTCGAAGCTCCACTACAGCTCCGCAGGTGAGTAGCTACTACCCCAGTCACCACCTTCCAATTTGCTTATTCACCTACATTTCTTTGCCAGCTCAGCTGTCGTGACTTCTTTTGGCCGTAGTTGACTTCATGTCCTCTACTGTACTCACCAAAACAACCTCTATCCATCAACTTTAATGCCTTTTTCGCGTCACAGCCATGACCAAGCACAAAGACCACTGAATCTTACATACTCTGCATCCGTCTATCAATACTCCCATCGCTCTTTGGCGCGATCAACACAACGAGATGCTCCACAGCTCGGCTCCAGAAGAAAAGCTTGCCTCCCGCTTGCAGCGCAGAACTCATCTCTACTGGTCAATAGCATGAGAGGATCCATAACATCACGCACATTATGCTCACCACCATGAAACTCTGCTTGAGCTGTGCATATCGCTCAAAGACAATTCTCTCATGCTGACGTGCTTGGAAAATTTCGGCCATCATCTTTCTTCCCCCTCTTCTTCTCTAGTCTTTTCACTTTTCTCATCTCCCTTAGCTGCTATCTGGAGACTTTCAAGACAAAAGTCATCACCATCAACCCGCCCGCTTGCTCGCCCACGAAGCGACAATCATTGGTGTGACTGTGCACACAAAGAATGCGTTTCGCTGATGCTTCTTTGGCGGCGGCGTGCCTTGTGCAGCTGTTCGCGACTACATGGGGTTTACCGTCACCTGATCAATTGGTGAGGATATGACCTTTGTGACTCTTTTGGTTCCAGTTCCTGCTGGGATTGCTCAATCGAGTCAATTGAAAGCGTCGCTGACCACATTACAGCTACCTAACTCTCCCGAAATCGACAATGGGTTCTCTGGTCCGCCACTGTCTGTATATGCACAACCTGCATGGAGGAAGCGTCAAGCGACAACTGCTTCGACATCTGCCTCTTCATCATCATCTGGTACTTCTGTTTCCAGTTCAAGCAGCAGTAGCTCAAGTGGATTATACACAAACTCGACAAGTTCGAGCACCATGAGCTCAACCAGCAGTTCTATGACCTCTTCGGCGAACTCGACAACTTCAAGTATGATGAGCTCTTCGGCAAACTCGACATCCTCAACAGCTTCGTCAACCACGTCGAGCTCGACAACCGCTTCAGCATCGCCCACCACAGTCAATGGTGTAACCTTTGACGTTCAAGACAACACAATCTACAGTGGCACCATGATGAATCCCACGAGAAAGCGAGCCGCAGACAGCGGAATTGACATGTGCTTGAACAAGTGTGCAAGCAACTCGACTTGTCAGGGAACGGCATACGACAACAGCACTATGACTTGCACTTATTACAGCTCAGTCGACCGGTCCAGCCAAATGACAAAGAACGGCACCACTTTTGCTCTGGTTGAGAATCGTCCCAGCAACTCGACCAACAGCACTACATCATCTGCGCCATCATCAACCATGACGATGAGTTTGAACAGCACTTCTTCGTTGACTCGTTCCACAACAAGACGTATGAATACCACCTCGAGCCATTCAATGACTACCACTTCGAGTCGTTCAATGACCATGACTGCCAACACTACAAGTATTCTGAGCCATTCGTCAACCATGTCGTCGAATGCCACATCTTCGACTTCAGCTACCCCTACCAACCTTGTTGGAGCACGAAGCTGCAAGCAAATCGCTGCAGCTGGAAGCACCTTTACCGACTCCAACAATGTCACGTACGCTGTCATTTGTTCCAAAATGCAAAAGAGAATGCTTTTCGACGAGTCGGCATTGTCTATCAGAGCAGCCGGCGATCTGGCTACCGTCCAATCAGGAAGCTTTGAAGGCTGTGCTCCTTATTGTGATGCAAACTCACAGTGCAACTCTTATAGCTACGATCCCACCAACGGAACGTGCTATCTAGAGAGCACAAGCAGCGTGACTCAACCCGTCGCTGGTCGAGACTATGCCTACAAGGTACAGAGCACAACATCCTCGAGTTCGACTTCGTCAACTTCAAGCTCGACTTCGACATCTTCTAGTACCACCAGCAGTTCGAGTACCTCGTCATCGTCGACTTCTGACTTTGTTCCTGATGGGTACTCTATATCGAAAACCACGATATGCAACACTCCTACGGGAGCTTCGATGATAACTGCGTCAGCGACTTCGACCCCATCAACCACATCGTCGTCTTTTTTATCCCTAAGTAGCTCGAGCGCCAGCTCGAGCACCCCGGTGTCTAGTACTTCAACTTCGTCTTTGTCTTCAAGCACTTCTTCGTCGACTTCCAGCTCAAGCACGTCAACAACATCTTCGACGTCTTCATCGCCGTCCTCGACGTCATCAAGCACCTCGGCTACAGCTCAAGTCAGGATCGCAACTGCAGTCCGCGTAGTAGCAGACAGAACCAGAACAGTCAACAGCGCAGCTCCAGCCGTGGCAACTGTAGTCTCTCAGCAAACCAGAGGTGCCGTTGTGACATCTTACTCCATCGTTTCCAGTGGAAGCACGATCACCGTTGTCGACACAGCAACGAGTGTGCTTTCCATCTACACATCCACCATGCAAGTGGCTTCTGTGCGACGATCGACCGTCACCACAGTCCAAAGTGCTCAACCCTCTGTGGTTACCGTTGGCGCCGTGACGGTCACAACTGATGTGGTTGTTCCCAGCGGCTACACTACAGTCACCGGCACGGTCACGCAAAACAGAGACATCACGGTGGCTACAGGCGTGGCTACGGTGACGCAACCTGCAAGTACTGTTACTACTACTGTGGCTACACTCACCACTAGTGGAGCTTCTACTGTGACGTCGGGCATCAGTACTGTGACGATGAATGCTGCTCCTATAAGTTTCTTAACTGTTGTGCGAAGGGAGGAGATGCCTTTGCAAGAGGACAAGACTGAGGCAAAGGAAGATGAGAAGAAGAAGGGCGAGGAGAAAAAAGACAGACCCTGGTTTGCCTTTGACGGCATGACTGAGATGTGGATGTGATTACTCTCCCATCAAACCACCTTCCCAGCTCTTTTCCAACCGTCCAATCCCTTCTTCGACTCTCTCGACCCAAAGAAAAAGCAGACCACGCAAAAGGAGGTGATTTGCCTACCTCGCTTGCTGTCTCCAACAGGAGGAAAGTATCAGAAAAAGAGAGAGAAAGAAAAAGAAAAACAAGAAAAACATGTTTGTATATTTCTTGCTGTTTACGGTGTCCAGTTTGATTTGTTTGGCCTAATGCCCCCATCCGTCATCCTAACCCTCGAGACATTCCTTGTTTTGTACTTGTATCACAATCACATAACCCAAAAACACCCAATCCTCATGTAATCATAGTCCCTTAGTTGTAGTCTTTAGTATGTAGTCAAGAACTCAATCTCACTCTCTTTTTGTTGTTGTTGTTGTTGTTGCATAATCATTGCTGTCTTTCCTTCCTTCCTTCCTTCCTTCCTTCCTTCCTTCCTTCCTTCCTTCCTTCCTTCCTTCCTTCCTTCCTTCCTTCCTTCCTTCCTGCCTTCCTTCCTTTTCCCCTCCGTTCTTGCCGCCCGCCCCTTAGAACCGAAGGAAAAAGGTATTAGCAAACGACCCAACCTCACACTTTGACAGTAGCAATCCTCTCTTCTATTGCAATACAAAAATAACATGG